AAACTTAAAAAAAATCTTCTTTCAAAAAGCCCAATGAGCTAGAGCTTAGATGTTTAGCATGAAAACATCTTCTTATGGGTGTCTACCGAGTTTGTGCAAATAAAAGCCCTTGGGTTAAATTGGCCCTGCAACGTTGGGGGGGGGGGGGGGGTTGGGGGCCTATATACAGGTGAGCGACCTCTGGGCCATCATGGCCCTCTTGTTTTGTAATCGTTGTTATGGTTTTTGGTTATTTTTGTTGGTTAAAGGATGTCCAATAAAATGTTGTTTCATGCTAAATATTTACTTTCTCGCCATTTGTGTTCCAGTCTAAAATATTGTTGAAGGTTTTACTGAAATCCATGAGCCTTAGTGTAGATTTAGTCCATAAGATGATGTTTCATGCCAAACATCTAAGATGTCAAAGGAAAAGATTTTAGTTTGACTATATACCATGTATACATATTTTGAAAACCTATATGACACCCGAGACAGCACCAATTTGACAGGACGTTAATTAGAATGCATTGTATATTTGGTAGAGATCAACTAGATCATCTTTTATATCAAATATATAAGCTCCTGCACATTGCGTTTCCGAGAAGATTATTTTACAAATGTTTTTTACAGGAAATATACATTTAAGGAAAACCCATTACCCCCTTCACAAGGACAAAACCAATGCTTACCATTTGGCTATTATTTTATTTATTATTTTTATAACAATTTTAGCTTTTTGTGTTTGTTTTACCCTCGATTTAAACTTGTGTAAAGTAAGTGGCCTGCATTAAATAAAACAAAACACTTTGCCGTGATGTTTCATTTTGTTTTGTGAAAGGCTTTCCGAGAACCGCTTATGTAACATCCGTATGAAGTCGATTTTATCTTTATATAGAGAGTCTTACAGTATGGAAGTGATCAGAGTTTCTAAAATCGCTTGTCGACTGGAATGTTATAGAGATGGGTGTGAATGATTCAAACGTGTATTTTAAATATACATATTTATTCATGGCTGGATTTATATGTTTAAGTAAGTACCTTTTTCTTTCTTTCTGTCCTGTCTTTCTTTTTGTCTGTCTGTCTTTCTTATTTTTTTATTTCTTTCTTTCATTTTTTTTTCATTTTTTTCAATTCTTTATACGGGGTTTTGCCTTTTGTCTATTTCAAATTATCAAAACATATATAGAAAGATTTGTAAATTAGGATTCTTTTTCCTAATTTCAACTGTATTTATTTTCAATTTAAGTTTGAGTGAAGATTTAAAACAGGTCCAATTCATTCTTCTGTATGACAACCAAAAAAAAAAGCTACACATTTACACAAATAAAATTCAGTAATGTATTTCGACATTATTTTTCTTTTTTTTTCCTTTCTTTTATTTAATACTATGAGTTTATAAATGAAAGAGTAAGGCAAACACAAAAATATGAACAACAACAATAACATTAACATTAAACTTAAAAAAAAAAAAAAAAAAAAAAAAAAAAAAAAAATACGCACACACACACACACTGCGCTAGAGGGCAACTTAAGACGCTAAGCCCGTGTGCGCGTCTTCCATATGTATAAAGTTTAGGTGAACAATATCAAACTTAAAGATTCTATTTAATAAACTTTATTTTATTCTATTTCAAAAGAAAAATATTACCAACTGTATAAAATGAAGAACTTTTGCAACATTCTGATTCGTTCAAGATTGACCACCAGTATAGATTTGCCTCAATTTGAATTCGGATCAACCCATTGTTAGCTTAAGGGCTTTCAAACTTATGCTAATTTTGTTGGGGTTTTTTGTTCAGTATTTAATCGCACCAAAACTGTAAAAATTAAAGGTCATATAGCCGCGGCTTTACTGGCGGAAGAAGACCTCAGGTTTCGTTCCGTGCATTATTTCTGGCACGAACGGACACGTGAGTAAACCACCGACGTTTCGTAAGCGAGCCAACACATAAAATAGTACAAATTCCTGGCGAGATTCGAAGACACAAGTTTGAGATCAACGACTTTAACTGCACTGTCACGGACGCCCCTAACATAATATCAAACAACTAAAAATGTCCAAATCTTCGATAGTTTGTTGACCATCGAGTAGTAAGCCTCAACGAATGTTATAATTTTTAAAATTTTGAACCTTTTCATTTTGAGAAAGTTGTAGTCTGCTAAAAATTTTTTGTTTATATGTATCTAACAAGAAGCTGTATAGGTATCTAACAAGAAGCTGTGACGCAACATTTCGGTCTTTTCCGCCAATCTTTGGGCACAACGTATATATTGTAAACATATGCCATAAATCTATAGATAATTGTACATCAGTTGTCATTTCTAAATTGATTATGATTGTCAAACACATTTTTTCAAAATAAATTTGCCGAAATAGTCTTAATTTTATACAAAGATAACACGATTACATCTCAAGTCACGTGGAAGATACATCTTTAATGTGTCCGAGTTTATCATGAAAATTCGTTAATGTTCTTGTCTGGCTTTGTTCCTAGCTGTACTCAAAAGGCAATTGTGATCTGTCTTGGCATGTCAGTAGCTTAAAAAAATTGTGTCATAGTTTGGAGATCTTTCTGGAGTTAAATTATATACCATATACATACACAGTGCGTTAACTGGAGTGCTGGACTATTCATTACCCGCACTCCAATTACGGACTGTCGGGGATAAAAAAAATAGAGCATGATACACTGTTACTGGTGTTTGCTTATTGTGATGACAGGCACAGAGATAACAATAGACAAGTCATATTCGGATGCTCGTACATAATTTATTGGCTACCTTTCCTGTGGTTTCATATTGTGACGAAAGGAAACTTTTTTATTTTTACCTATGATACAAAAGAGGAAGAACATCAAAACAGCGAATAGCCTCCTTTTTTAATGCTCTTTCTGTTAGATAAATCCCCGATGTTTTTATATATCTAATGTAGAATTTATACATTGTTGTTGTTGTTATTATTTTTGTGTTGTTTTACTCCTCCAGAAATTATCAGATTATTTTATCCATTTACATTCAATTTTAGCTCGATTTATCGAGTTATGTGGACGTTGTCGTATCCGGTACAGGCACCATGGCCCATATCTTTGCCGTCAGGACACTTTTATTTTCATTTGTCAATGGATTCCCTTCATACTTGGACACAATAACACTTTGGGACCTTAAAGTATACCAGACTGAATTTGACCTTCTCACATAAATAACCTTGACCATCTAGGTCAAATGTTGAATGTCGCTTGATTTTTGCTATAATTGAATAAAACTTTGCTATTTATGAATAGATTGTCTTCATACTTGGATACAGCAATCCTTTGGACAAGACCTACAAGAGGATTAAGTTGATTGTAACATTTACTCATCAATGACCTTGACTATGAAGGTCAAGTTGTTTTACTTTTGCTATAATGGGTTAAACTTTGTTTTTGTATAATTTTATTGTCTTCATACTTGAGCGCAACTACCTTCAGGACAATATTCTAGAAAAGATCAAAACTAATTTGAACTCGATTCATAAATGACCTTGCCCTTGCAGGTCAAATTATTGTAACTTCAGTTGTTTGTTACAATAGGCTATAACTTTGTAAATAATACATGGATTGTCTTTATACTAAATACTAAGTCAAAAAATTCCTTGGGACAAGACATCAGAAAGGATTTATTAAACATGAGCTTGATTTGACCTTGACATTTAAGTTCAAATAAGTGAACTTTGCTACAGGCTATATCTTTGCTATTTATTTATGGATTTTATTTAAACTTTGATAAAAAAACAATTATACCAAACCTGACATGTTTAGTACTTCAAAAAAATATGATCTCGACCTCACCTTGACCGTCAAGGTCAATTATTGAATTTAGCTTATATTGTCACAACTTCGTTATTTAATACGTATTTGATTTATAATTGGACAAAAGTATCCTTACCGCAAAACCGACATGTTGAATGATTAAAAATGATATTAATGTTTATTTGGCCTGAACCGTCAAGGTAAAACTAATGAAATTTGCTTAAATTATCCTAACTTTGTTATTAATTTACCGGTTTGATTTAAACTTAATCAAAAGAACACATTATAATGACAATTTCGAAATGTTGAATTATTGCGATATGACATTGACCTTAAATTGGTCTTGAATTATTGAAATTTGCTTAAATTGCCATAACTTTCTTAATTAAAGACACATTTTCTTATACTCGGACAAAAGTATACGTAGGATAAAATCGACATATTGTGTAACATTGAGCCTTGAATGACCTTTACCGATACGGTACCATCAAGGTCAAATCATTTAATTTTGCTTGTAATTCTTAACTTGGTTATAACTAATGGATTTGAGTCATTCTTTTAAATGCATATGGTAAAATTGACATAATGTTATAATTGAATAATGATTCAAATTTGACCTCAAACTATGAATGACCTTGACCGTTCAGATTAAACATAAAATTTAAACTATATTTTTTAACAAGAAAATTATGTTTTTTATTAGTAGTCTCTACTGCATTATTGTCCCTGTAATGTGTTTGAAATAACAAAACAAAACAAAACAAACAAAAAAACAAAAACAAAAAAACAAAACAACAACAAACACGCCCCCCCCCAAAAAAAAACAAAAAAAAAAACACAAAAAAAAACAAATAACAAAAAACAAAACAAACAAACAAAAAATACCGAGCATAGTCCCCGCTAGGCGGTGGCTTATCTAAACTTGATATAAAAAATATCTAATATTAGGCATAAAATCTTCATATCATCCCTCTCTGTTATGTACCATAATTTATACAAAAGGGAACATTCTCTATTAATGGACTTTACATTATGATAATTCCAGGTTTTCCGGGGTCAAGAACGCTTGATATTAAAGCAGCAATCAATGAAACAACAATGACAACCTCTACAACAGTAAATGTAACAGAGAGCGAGCAACCAAAGACAACCGCTACTACAACAATAAATGTAACAGAGAGTAAGCGACCAATGACCACCGCTACAGTAAATGTAACAGAGAGCGAGCGACCAATGACAACCGCTACTACGACAGTAAATGTAACAGAGAGTGAGCGACCAATGACAACCGCTACTACAACAGTAAATGTAACAGAGAGTGAGCGACCAATGACAACCGCTACTACAACAGTAAATGTAACAGAGAGTGAGCGACCAATGACAACCGCTACTACAACAATAAATGTAACAGAGAGTGAGCGACCAATGACAACCGCTACTACAACAGTAAATGTAACAGAGAGTGAGCGACCAATGACAACCGCTACTACAGCAGTAAATGAAACAGAGAGTGAGCGACCAATGACCACCACTACTACGAGTACTACCTCTATTACAACAGAAAATGTAACAGAGAGCGATTTAGCTAATACAACCTCTTCTACAACAATAAATGAAACTGAGCGCGAGCTACCAAAGATTGAAACCGCTACTACGACAAAGGATGTAAAAGACAGCGAGATACCAATGACAACCGCTACTACGAAACATAATGAAGCAGAGAGCGAGCGACCAATGACAACCGCTACTACGACAGTAAATGTAAAAGAGAGTGAGCATCCAAAGACAACCGCTACTACAACAATAAATGTCACAGAGAGTAAGCGACCAATGACCACCGCTACTACAACAGTAAATGTAACAGAGAGCGAGCGACCAATGACAACCGCTACTACGACAGTAAATGTATCAGAGAGTGAGCGACCAATGACCACCGCTACTACAACAGTAAATGTAACAGAGAGCGAGCGACCAATGACAACCGCTACTACGACAGTAAATGTAACAGAGAGTGAGCGACCAATGACCACCGCTACTACAACAATAAATGTAACAGAGAGCGAGCGACCAATGACAACCGCTACTACAACAATAAATGTAACAGAGAGTGAGCGACCAATGACAACCGCTACTACAACAGTAAATGTAACCGAGAGTGAGCGACCAATGACAACCACTACTACGAGTACTACCTCTAGTACAACAGAAAATGTAACAGAGAGCGATTTAGCTAATACAACCTCTTCTACAACAATAAATAAAACTAAGCGCGAGCTACCAAAGATTGAAACCGCTACTACGACAAAGGATGTAAAAGACAGCGAGGTACCAATGACAACCACTACTACGAAACATAGTGAAGCAGAGAGCGAGCGACCAATGACAACCGCTACCACGACAGTAAATGTAAAAGAGAGTGAGCGACCAATGACAACCGCTACTACAACAGTAAATGTAACAGAGAGTGAGCGACCGATGACAACCGCTGCTACAACAATAAATGTAACAGAGAGTGAGCGACCAATGACAACCGCTACTAGAATAGTAAATATAACAGCGAGTGAGCGACCAATGACAACCGCTACTACGACAGTAAATGTAACAGAGAGTGAGCGAACAATGACAACCGCTACTACAACAATAAATGTAACAGAGAGTGAGCGACCAATGGCAACCGGTACTACAACAGTAAATGTAACAGAGAGTGAGCGACCAATGACCACCGCTACTACAACATTAAATGCTACAGAGAATCAGCGACCAATGACAACCGCTACTACAGCAGTAAATGTAACAGAGAGCGAGCGACCAATGACAACCTCTTACAACAGTAAATGTAACAGAGAGTGAGCGACCAATGACCACCGCTACTACGACAGTAAATGTAACAGAGAGCGAGCGACCAATGACAACCGCTACTACGACAGTAAATGTAACAGAGAGCGAGCGACCAATGACAACCGCTACTACAACAGTAAATGTAACAGAGAGCGAGCGACCAATGACAACCGCTACTACGACAGTAAATGTAACAAAGAGCGAGCGACCAATGACAACCGCTACTACCACAGTAAATGTAACAGAGAATGAGCGACCAATGACAACCGCTACTACAACAGTAAATGTAACAGAGAGTCTGCGACCAATGACCACCGCTACTACAACAATAAATGTAGCAGAGAGTGAGCGACAAATGACAACCGCTACTACAACAATAAATGTAACAGAGAGTGAGCGACCAAAGACAACCGCTACTATGAACAATAATGAAGCAGAGAGCGAGCGACCAATGACAACCGCTACTACAACAATAAATGTAACAGAGAGTAAGCGACCAATGACAACCGCTACTACAACAGTAAATGTAACAGAGAGTGAGCGACCAATGACAACCGCTTCTACGACAGTAAATGTAACAGAGAGTGAGCGACCAATGACAACCGCTACTACGACAGTAAATGTAACAGAGAGCGAGCGACCAATGACAACCGCTGCTACAACAGTAAATGAAACAGAGAGTGAGCGACCAATGACCACCGCTACTACGACAGAAAATGTAACAGAGAGCGAGCGACAAATGACAACTGCTACTACGACAGTAAATGTAACAGAGAGCGAGCGACCAATGACAACCGCTGCTACGACAGTAAATGTAACACAAAGCGAGCGACCAATGATAACCGATATGACGACTACTACTTCTGCTACGACAGAAAATGTAACAGAGAGAGCGTTACCAAATGCAACCTCTTCCACAAATATTTTCACAGAAAGTGAGCGACCAAAGCCATCCTCTAATTCAAGTTTTACAGAACCACCAGGCGTTATCGCAGTTGTCATTTCCATAGTTTATAATTGGTTTTTTTCTTCAGATGAAAATGAAAGAAGTTCAAAAACGACAGAAAATGTAACAGAGAGCGAGTTACCAAATACATCCTCTAAAACAGTAAATATATCGCAGAGCGAGCGACCAAAGACTGTAACCGCTACTACGGCAAAGAATGTAACAGAGAGCGAGCGACCAATTACAACCGCTACTACGGCAAAGAATGTAACAGAGAGCAAGCGACCAATTACAACCGCTTCTTTGACAGGAAATGTAACAGAGAGCGAGCGACCAATGACAAGCACTTCTTTGACTACTACGACAGAAAATGTTACAGAGAGCGAGTTACAAAATACAACCTCTTCTACAAATATTTTCACAGAAAGTGAGCGACCAAATACATCCTCTAATTCAAGTTCTAACCTCTCAAAACTAACAACAAAAGCAAGGGCTGTAACTTCCACTAAATCAATATTTACGAGAGTTGAGCCACCTGGTACGAAGGTAGTGGGGGAAATCGGAGTGGATCTGCAGGCACTCAAGTTACTTTTAACTTTTTTATTAACATACTGTGTGTCATTCTCGCAATGGCATATTGTTAGTGAATATACAAATTGTAGTATAACTTCAGCAATCATCAGCGAATGCTTCAATTTTATGCTTTTAATCATTTCATTTGATAGAATACCGACACTGAATTTCTATTGTATAATAAAGGAATAAACTACTTACTAAATTCTAAAATTTTCTAGTCGAGTAATTCGGCTGCAAAGCAGCCAGGTCTTATATGATTTGAATAAGACGCATTATTTATTGCGGAATGACATGATTAATTTTGCGAGTCGTCGATAAAAACACGAGTACATAAAACTATTAAAATTTCACCTTTACACCTTATGACCAATTTTTAATTTCTGGCTTTGTTGCAAAACATTTCAACATTTTCTTCAAAAGGAAATACAATGATTTTACTATCCCCGTGTACAAATAACGGACTGTGTCTGTAGTTTACCGAGATTTGATATCGTTAAACCAGGCATAAATTAAATCAATCGAAAGTTTCGCATTCGGACAAAACGCATCAGTGTAAGAGCTGTTGCATTGCACTGTCATCAAACATCTGAATCTGTTCAATATATCCATTTCTTGACTTTTAGAAACTAGGAAGTAGGTTCATTTTTGAAGAAATTTATCTTTTAAAGTTTTAGAGATTATTTGGATAGTGCTGCGAGGTTTCAGAAACTTAAATAAACACATAGGTTAAATATAAAGTAAAGCGAGGTTACACATCTATACTGTTTTGTTTTGGTTAGATTTGGTAATTATAATGGGTCTGATGCTTTTAATGTCTTTATACTACGTTTACTTTGGTGTTTTATCGATTGTCATTTGCTTATAAAAAGTTTATATATCGTTTAATCGAGATAACGGAGATATAATTATTAAATGCTCAAGGCATTATGATAAATCATTATGAGCAACACTGTATATAAGACACATGGGTCATTACGACATTGACTGAAACGCACCTATAGAACGAGCTAATGGAATTTTCGTGTTGTAACGCTTATATACCTTTAAATTTCAATCTAAACAGATATTTCGTCTATGTAGCTGTTCTAAAGGCAACCATTTCACGATGCGTATTTTTAACTTAGCTTGTTCTATATATTTATTTTTGACATACGTATGGCGTACGTCACGATTGGTTTGAGTGCCTTTAGGGACTTATTAAAACTTTTCGCAACAAACATAAATCACAGGAACTTGAAAATGTAATATAGGTACGATTGCATACTACTTTTTGTGAAGACTTTTTATGTTTGCTGCATTAAAGTTGTTATGTAAAATGAACAAACATGTCATGAGATATTTTATATCTTTAAACATTTTCATGGAATGTATTTAATGTATCATCATATTAAAGTTGCATGCCTTCAGATTAGAAAAATGATTTCAAGGAAATCAAAATATGAAAAGAAAATTCACGGTCAATTCACTGCTTTGAAGCATAATCACAAAATAAAATTTCAGGAAATTAAAAACCTTTTTAATACACTAAAGATAGACTTTTATTGTAAATCATAGTCGCAGATTTGAGATATGATTATTTATTCATATTAACATCATTATTGGCTATATATTGATTAAAAAACCCCGAAAGACACAGTTTGTAAATATTTATTACAATAAGATATGAAAAAAAGGTATTTTCCATCCTATGCGACGCGCCGATGTTAGCTATATTTATAATTCCCATGCTAAGTCGCGGTGGTGCTTGGGATAATCACTTGATACTGTAAAATTAATGGTACGAAAATGCCTGGCCCTCCTCGGACAGTTTATCCTGCCTAAAAGATATAAAAAAATACTTGCAATTCAAAGTTTGTTTGCTACATAAATATTATCGATTTACTCTTTTTCTCTGCCTGTAATAATATTGATGTGTTTTCATTGGCTTAAATCATCACGTTATCAATACACATGTAGGTGTGAACTAATTTCGTGCTCATTAAAATTATTCCGTTAATAGACATATAGCAATCTTATTTACAAATGAATTGATAGAAGCATTTAAGATAATAACAATCATTGGAAAAAAATAAATGCACATAAATTGTAAATTTGTGTATGACAACTCACCCCCTAAACAAAACATAATAGACTCAACCAAAACAAGCGTCTGCTTCTTTACCTAACTATGTAGAAGCGTCTGCTTCTTTACCTAACTATGTAGTTGCATGACCATGATTAGCAAAAGCAAACCAAATTTAAGAGCTAAAGCTATTGTAAAAATAATACTATGACCACAGCAGATTTCGTACAGAAAAGTTTTACTGATCTTTTTGCCAATCAGTACATCTGCTAAATGCTGGTATTCGTAGTACCCCTTACATCCGGATTTTTATGGAAAATGCCGAAAAGTAAGGATAGACCTCTTGGAGAATTCTTCTAAATGTGTTTAGTACATGTGTGAAACTTCACAAACATTTTACGGACATGTCGGATGATATGACGGGGGTTAATAAACGCCGAAAGAGCTTGTAAAATTAACAGAAGATAGAAAAGTTCGGGGAAATTTGGGGAGGCATGCGTTAAACGTTCTCATTAATGAAAAGAAAACACAGCATCAATACAGTATATTGTTTATGTACATAATCATATAAAAGAAACCAAAAGATCTACCGGATATACATGTAGCAATTTCAGCATTTTTCCTGGAAAATAGAAATTATAGAATTTGTTAAGTTAAACTGACATTTGAATCGACAAGTGGTTCGATTTTTAAAAATAAAGAGAATATATAAATACAATTAATTAATTAATTGGATTGATTGGTTGATTGGTTTATTGGTTGGTTGATTTATTGATTGATTGATTGATTGATCTGTTCATGTTCAATTTCTTTCAAATAAAACATTTCGAACAACATGCAGAATTTAGAAAATAAAGTATCAAGTATTTTTAATTGGTGTCAGGACTTGTTTTAATTTGTTATAAAGATAAATACCTGATTTAATAACACGTGCATATATTGTCCACACAGTGCCAGCTCTGGTATCGGTTTGGACATCTTTTACCCAGGTTTAAACAATCGTCACGTGTCTGACATCCTACGGAGTACAATAATGGAAATCAAAAAATGTACATTGTATCAGCAAATATTGAGCGTTTGCAGAGGCAATAATAGAAAGTTTCAATAATATGGATACAACATTTTAGCCATCAAAGAACTGCAATATTAGTCTTAAGTTTCTCTCCACCTCCCTCCCATTCCCCAGGTTCCCTAGTAACAGATGGTCAGTATAGTAACCAATGGGCCGTACTTCTAAAACTATAGTCCGTAGAAACCTAGGTTTGGAACCAATGTACAACTATGTAAAACGTGTCAAGATCAGCAGTTCATTCGTTAGCCAGATAATCGTGACCATTATTTAGTTTTATAAAAGGTTGCCCCGTAAATTCACTTCATGCTTGCAGTATTGTTATATTTTTCTGGTCCTTTGGGATCATTGATTCCAGCAGTATAAAGTGTTGAGAATAGAGTACCGCTCAAGCGAGTGCTAGGAGGCGTGAATGGTGTAGCAATATTCCATTAATCATGTACAGACTCAATCAAACCGGGTCTGCATTTTTCATGTAATTTTGTTGTGATTAATGCTTCGGAGGGATCGCTTTGTTTCCGGATTATTATATACACTGCTGCTATCAAATTTTGAAGAAATATCTTCTTTTTTTCTCCAGCCGTATTATAAATTCGTTATTAAGATTGTTTATAGGTTATATTGCCATATATAAATGGTGGTTTGTATGTACGAGTAACCGTTTATAAATATAGAGCCATATAACGTACCAAAAATCTTTATAATAACTAATAATATAAACAAACAACAAAAGATTCACTTTTACATATAATTAGCTTCTTTTGCTGACTTAATAAGACTGTCCTTCTAAACATAATGGAAATATTTTAATTGTAACGTACTGTCTGGTATTGGTGAGCACGTGCACTCCTGGCGTTCACAGATAAGATTACTTCCGTTAGCACACAATGTTATCTGGCAGTCCATTGGTCCAACGCAGCGTTCTGCGTATATAACTGAAAACAACACGACAGTAGCTAGAATTATTGTCTAGATAAAACAGTTGTTTAAAAGTAATTGCAAATTAAATTACATGTACAATTATGTAAAATTTATCAAGCTTTACACGAGTTTATAGTGCACAAATCATTTTAAAACCCCTGTCAGAGGCAACATTCCCGCTTACGGATGGGGCATAACATGTGTTATTTTGGCGCCACAAAATAAAACTATATGGTGCCAGGTAACAACAATGATATGGATCCGCGGGAACAGGGAGAAGAAATCATTCAACGGATTTATATTACAAAATCGGGCTGGAGTTTCAACTAAACAACTGACTTGCGCATTATTAGTCATATTAAAAATCCCTTATCGGACACTTCATGGAAGTAATGCAATTGTTTTATTTGATAATAAAATGTCGAGCATTTCATGACAGTAAACAACAAAAGTCAATACTTACGGACAGCGGCAAAAGCCAGCACTGCTGCGATGACGATTTTCATTCTTAAATGTTCTTGTACGAAATGAGACACTCCGTTACATTGCCAGCTATTTATTCATTGAAACTTTGTGAAGTAATGTTATTTCATACAAAGCTATAATGCAAAGTTATACAACACATATCAGGAATATAATCTTGCTTATACAATCATATACAATACTTTGCAACTATACCATGAAATTATGTTCGTTTGTGATAAGTCACACCTATACGAATAAGATCTCGGGTTATCATTAGTGGGCTGCATCAATAAGTTGGCACAACTATTCTTTTATTTGGGGACCATGCATGATACGAAAGGGTCATAATGCATATTTCATTATCATACGTACAGACGTACAGACACATCTTCGGATGTATCTAAAGTTATGTTTATGTTCTACTTCAGTCGTCGTTATGGAGCGTAAACGATATAAGGCGGTAACCATTGTTAAGGAGCGTAGACTTTTAACAGTTCGTGAACAGGCTCTGCAACAGCTATAAGTTTCTGATTTTAGGCGTTATTAAAGGTTTCCGTATATATTTATCTATACAAACTGATATGGCTGACATTAGTAACAAGAATGTGGGAATCATTTGTACGTTTCCTGATATGACACCAGTACTGGTTAAGGCCGCTATTCCATTTATACGTGATCAGTGGTCCGCGTCAGTGATCCGTGTCCGGGCATGTCCGTGGGTACATAGGTACGTTATTTTCTATATACTTTTAATTGAAGTATAGCGAACAGAGGATAATTATTTGTAGAAAATGATATAATTTCATTCTAATACCAAAAACAGTTGTAACATCAAAGAATTAGGTAACAAACATTGAATATCAGTTAGGCTTTCAAATAACATCTCTTTAGCAATCGATGACCAGATGTTGTTTTTTTTTAATCTGTCATTGCTGCATCATAAACTTATATGTTCTCCTACACTATTTTGGTGACTTCTTTAGTATTTTCTTTCGAAATCGATAAAGTATTTAATTTCGTTTGAGGCATTTTGTAGGGATGAGACATGTCAGTGACTATCCGCGTCCGTAAAAAATCGCTCATCCTGCGAAACGTCGCGGATGCCGTCGCGGAAGCGGATGGTAAACGGACAAAAGGAATAGATTCAACGTATTCTTTGATTAGCGAATCGGTAACGGATGCGGATGACGGACGCGGACCACTGATCACGTATAAATGTAATAGCGGCCTAAGGCCTCAACAGACGGTAGGATTTAGTTGTACACCACTAATTAGAGATAACAGGGTCTTTCCAATTGAAAGACCCTGGAGATAAGATGTACACTTTTCAAAGCAATACAACACTTGCATTCAGACCGTAATTCTGCATTGTATGAATCATCTGAGGTTTCCCTAAAAACAGTTCCCTCCCAATTGATCCCTTACATACTTTACTCACTAAATTTTTTTTTCTCCATGAGTAATGATTGAAACACCTCCATTTAAACAAAATCAAAACACTCTATAATTGTCAAAGGGCGAGATTAATGTGCAGCCGGACCGAGACTACATGTAGAACGTGGGACTCTCGAAATACGGTACTGTGGCTCTAGTGACTGAGCTATCCGGACGCCTTCAAACTACCTCTTCCGATTAGAGATCAGTTAAATACTGTTACATTATCATTTTCGGAATAATTATGCATTCGAACATATCATAACTTTAGGTCTCCTGAAAAGTTTTTCAACATCATTTTTACCCCATCTTACTACTGTTTACTTTGTAGCCCCAGTCGTTCTGGAATTTCATTCATTCCACAAATTATCAGGGGGTAATTGGGAAATATGTCATCTGTCATTGTGGGAAGTCTGTACAGATAGAACATGTCCTATCCTGTAAATCTAGTATTAAGTTGTATGAATTCTCCACACATTAAGATTTGCCTGTTCATCTTAGTTTTAATTGGTGTTGTACTGCAAAATCCTACCGTCTGTTGAGGCCTTTACACACAGTTTCAAGCGGGGTTCGCTTTTATTACAAATACAGTACTACTGTAACAAGTTACATCTAAGACTGAGGTAGTCTGTTAATTTTGTTGGATTGACGGCGTATCAACACAATTCAGGAACAGGACAGATAATTTTGGCTAACCTGGGTGTTACAAACTTAAGAAACACCAGGGGTCAAAACCACCTCACTTGCTGGAGTTAAAACATGCATAGACTACAGTAATTGGAACCCTTTTTAGTCGCCTCTTACGATCACGCAGGGATAAACAATTGCTGCAATTTTGATGCCCCAATCTTTTTTGGCAAATTCCTCAGTAACTAGGGATGCGCTAGTCTATAGAAGGACAAAAACACTGACTACATTCATAATATACTTATTTTACTCTCTGAATCTTCAACAAATGAAATAAACAATAAATATTTCATAATTAATCTATGTAATATACATAACATGAAAATTATATAAAATCTACATATTTTTGAGAAAAAAAAACAGCATGCAACAGAAATTCTGATAATAGAAAAAGTATATATTTAAATGAATACAAAAGTACAGACATGATTAACAAATATAAATAACACAATGAAGAAAAGTAACACAATATATAAAGTTACATACTGGACCTCTCAAGTGTTTTCAATTTAATACAAATAAACTTACTCCGAAATTAATATTTTAGGTATTCCACAGCAAATCCAGGGGGGAGGGGGGTTACAAATTAAACACACTAATGTACGGTTACAGCTATGAAAAAAAGCGCAACAGGTTGGCCCAGTACTAGTGCACCGTAAAATTATAACGGTAAAAGTACCAGGGTATTAGCTTGGAAAAACCAAGTTCTAGCGTTAACAGTTGTATCCAAGTTCGCATGGACCTTCTTAGTGTTTACAATTTAATGCATATTGGTCGAATAGCTAACTAATTGCAAGCACCTAGTCTAGTTTAAACTGTACACAGCACTTTGTAGGAATTTTCCTCTGGCAGAAGTTGAATTTCTTTTAGCTAAATCAATGTAAATTCATCCTATATTCAACATACATTTGTAATTTGTTTGTGTATCATTTGGCAAAGGTAAATAACTATATATAGCACTCTCACAAAATGTGTCATGATGCTATGTTATAATATTTATGCAATATTTATATATATAATTGCATTATCTTTATCAAGCAATTTGTCAAGTTTAAAGTCGCAACGTCACTGTTGAAGTTCCAGCTTTATTTGTGGAGGAAGTGGGCAGAGTTTGGACTTTCAAACATAAGCCCCGTGCATTGTTTCATGCACCTTAGGTTAGACCTAATGAATTTTTTGCAAGCTTGCTGGGAAGCTTCTATAAGTAGAAGAATCTGAAATCCCTGGTAATTTTCAAAACAATTGCGGCAAGAAGCAAGTTATTTTAAGATCATAGTAGACAATGTTGCATGCATTAATGTATTACAACAAAATTCATACACAAGATAAATTTAGCAAAATTTAAAAAAGCTAACAATTACATAAGTATGAACACAAATATTTAAACTTTAACTTGATACTGGTTTAAATAGGGCAGATGATTTTGTTTTCCAATGATTAAATTTATTAATAATCGAAAAAAGTAAAACTATCACATGCCAAATGCAACCTTGGACACACCAAATTCTGAACATCAAATTAATAAAGATATTATTACAAATGTTGTCAGTTGGTTTCCACTTAATTTATAAAACCTTATCACTAAACATTTTCAGAATTGACAAAAAAAAGTTGTTTTAGTATCATGTATAATACATGTATATAATCATTTTCAACTCGGACAATGTCATGTATTAAATTTCACTCTAAAAATCCAGCTTTACAATTCAAAATCAAAAATATTATTCCCCAAAAATCATGAATTATTTCCCCTTCAATACAAAATCCTCTTATTTTCAATTTTCAAAATCCAGATTTATTTTGTTAAATTTCCCCATATATTCTGCTAAATAACTATTGATTATTGTAAATCGTGAACTGATACACTTTGTCTATACAAAAAACAGGATAGTTCATTCATTTTGTTCAATATAAATTTTTTTTGGAATTATTTATGCAGGAATAAAATATATTATTAACAATGTTTATCAATTTATTTTTATATTTTGAAATGTGTCATTAAGTAATAATAATTATGTACTTACTAGAAAAGTCATTGACCTATATAATACATGTATATGTATTTATGCCAGGGAAATTAAAAACACAAATGAACTAGAAATGTGCCAAAGGGACATGGATGCTCTGGACAACATTTCCCTGTTTTTTTTTTGATAGTTTACAGACCGAAAACTTAACAGAGGGACATGGGCAAATCTATTACAACATTCTCTTATGGGGGGGACATAAAAATCAGCAAATACACAATATTTCTAATAATGCGCTGTTAAAAAGCTGAAAATAAATATGTGCGAAAGAAAGAATTTTATATGTTGTAAGAACATTCACATTTTTTTTTTATGTTTAAAATGGTCGACCATTTTTGAAGTAACAATTTCACAATAATACAAAACACATCAAGATTTTCACAGTAAAAAGGTAATATTTAGATTTGAAACAGAAAATCTAAGACTACATGTATAAAAATCAATCAAAAGTCAAATCACGATAAACTCAATCATGCTTGTATGAGGGAACACATTTAAAATATACCTCAGGCAAGTGTGCAATTCATCACAGGTTGAATCTGGGATATACGATAACTTATCGTATGTCCCAGGTTGAATGCTATACACAATCAGAATAATAATTTCACTCTTGGCCATGTAGATTCAAATTCTGGGCTAGCCATTGTTTTCTTAAGCAGATTTTTTCAATACTGGTTGGGTCCAGAAATGATGTTTATATATATATAGCTTCCTACACAATATAGTATGAATTATGGTTGTTGCTTTAACCAACCTCTGGAAATACAACATTCAACTGGTCTATACAGATTTAAATAACATTATAGCAGTCAGTTTTCGGGTCCTAAATAATAAAATGTATAATTCGTATTTCCAATGCTTAAAGTTTGTAAAATTTTGTTTGAATTTTGAAAAATAATAATTCTAAAATTCCTGTATGAAAGCAATATGTAGGTACATTCCCTTTTGAGCAAATAGTGTGGTCTACATCTTTTAAAAGACAAGACTGGACAATATAACCTTTAATGACAAGTGGCTTTTGCCTTTATAAGAAAGGTATGTTTTGCCTTTATTGACCAGTGTCTTTTCCCTTTGTTTATTGATAACTGGCTTTCACCTTGTATAAGAACTATTTTTTGCCTTTAACGGAAAGAAGTGTTTTGTCTTTATTAACATTTAGCTGGATAGCTTCCAACGTCATGAAAAAATTCAAAGTTGCTGGTGAGATTTGAACCAAAAGTGGTAAGGGGCAAGTGTTTATTTCTTCAAATGTAAAAATATCTGATCAAATTTGTAGTTCTCTGACTGTCTCTCATATGATTGTAGGATTTCCTTAGATTGTCAGATCACAGACGTAAAAAATACTGCACAATCGTAATTGTGCGTAAAAAGTCACTCAGTACGTACATCACAACTCAATTAAATGCCAATTAGCATCTAGTATTTCTATAGAATTATCACATTGTAGTACTTAGTACTGTTTTGTAACTGCCATCTTTAATTTCTATGGAGTGAAAACTGTTCCACTGCTCGATAACCAAACTATATAAAATGATTTTTGCTGGAATCGCTATGTAATTTTAAATCTTTCTCGACGCTTTATTATCCATTCTGCATTAGGATTCACTTTATACAGTGTTAACATATTTGTGTTGTGTGGTAAACAGCGTTCACCAATGTTGCCGCCCACTTCAAACAGGAACGTGTCATCCCCAGCGGACTGGTAATTTCTCGGATCATTGTAGATAGGTCCATGTTGTGTTTTCCCGACATCAGAGTTTTCATTTCTGAAAGAAACATTAACTTTAAATTGGCCATGGAGGTACAGAGTCAAGACTTTAATATAAAAATACAGTAAAAATATTTTCTGTTTCATAATCCTTATTTCATTAAAAATGACAAAAAGTATCTTAGTTTATACTCTTAATCAAATTTGTATATTGGACATGGCATGCTTTAAAATTGAAAAAATGCATCAAGAGTTTGAGGGAATAAATCAGTATCAATATTTTCAAACTGTGTACAGTCTGACCAGATGGAGCAAGCTGACATGGCTCTATAACTAGTGATAAAACAATGTCAATATTACTACCTTTAACACAGGTAAGATTAACCACATTATTTTCCATTTCTATGCCATAAAATTACTAACCCAGCATTTGCTGAACCCTGAATGACCTTGAACTTGGCTACAACATCTCCTGCTGTCATATTGTTGTCCAGCTGTAGAGCAGTACTGCTCTTGGTCAGGTTAGGAGCTTGAATCCGTATCACACCATCCTGAAAGTCTGCCTATAAATAGAAATTATGCCTATAAATAAAAATCTTTAAATAGTAATTATGCCTATAAATAGACTTCCTCATCTGTCTATGCATAGATATCATACCTGTAAACAAATCCTGCTATAATGATATAAAACGTCTGGGTATAAAATTAATACAAAGCTTGCCTATATACAGTCAAACCTGTAATGTCACCTCTCTCCAGTGGTCATCTGACCTGAACTGCCATTTTGTAACATGCTCAAAGAAAATTGCTCTACTTTATACATTTGTACAGTGGTCACTTGCTGCCCGCGGTCAAAAGCCACTAAAACTGTTTTCCGAATCTGAAGCTTGGCTGTTTTAAGCAGTTAGCGAAGTTTGAAACAGCCAGACTATCTGCTGCTTTTTTTCAAAGATGACAGGAATCAGAGATTAACAAAAACTACATGTCGCGTGCCTGATATAAACACCGGTCACAAAGAAATTTGCATAATGGCACATCCCAGTCATCGTTATAACAAATGAACAATTCTGATTGGATTATCTGCATGCACTTGTATATAAATAGAAAATTTACCTATTAGGGAAAATACATTCAACATGATAAATCAATATCACCATTCAACACAATAGATTTCTTTAGTTATTTTTGATGTCACATTGTCTTAATCTTTGAAATAATGGCATCATTTGATGGCAATTCTAGCAAGTTAATTTGATGCCAATTCTATCAAGTTGAACATTTCACATCATCTGGCAGTAGAACAGCATGCTTGACTATTCTCAGTACTTGATAGTAAAACAAAAACCTGGATGATGTAGAATTTTCTAAGTTCAAAAAGGGCCATAATTATGCCTTGGATAGTGCCGTCCTGTTATGCTCTAAAGTAAATATGTGGAGTGCCCTCTGTTATACCCTCAAATAAACGTGTGAAGTTTAAACACATATTCCCTTCAGTTGTGTTGGAGAAAACAACCTGCATGCAAAACTTTACCAAAGTGTGACAGCAACACCAATACCTTTGTGAGTACAGTAGCTCTCCCTTTATTCTTTGAATAGTCAAGCTTAAAACACAAAGATCTGTTCATTGAAACTTATACTTGGTAAATGAGCCTAATACGTCATGAATATATCTAATCTTGATATTAAGAATTACTTGTGAGCTGTTTAAAAATTATTTGTTTTAATAGTATAATTGTATACCTCATGTTTTAATGCTGGTTTTTTGTATACTTCACTCTTGTCTTTCTTTGATAACAAACCCTTCATTTTCTGTAAATATAAAATCAATTTTAATATGCTGCTGATCTCCAGTGAGTAAACGATTTTAAAAAATCCCAAACTATACAAAAAAACATAAATAAAATATGATACATGTATTGACAATACATCGATGGTCACACAGTCATGTGGTAAACACAACCAAAGTTATCACATTGATCACCCTTATGAGAGGGTATTATTTTTTTATGGGTTTTATGTCACACAAATACTGTAAAAGTCATAAGGCAAATTTCAAGCTTTACCTCTATGTGCAAATATTTCAGGCACAAATAGGCACCCCGAGTTAAGAACCAACCAATGATGTTACGTAAGCTTGCTGGCTAGCTTCCCCACATGAAATAATCTAGACGTCCCTAGCATTTGAAACCACAGTGGTTTTGGGGTTAAAATGGACTGAAGGCTTAAACCTCTTGGCTTCAGGTGTCACTCAAATTTTAAGAAGTTTGAAAAATATTTTGACTTACTTTATCACAGTGAATAATAACATTATGACATTTTTTCTGCTTGCGGCAGATCACAAAATGTCACATTGTATTGGCACAATATTTATGCAATGCATTTGTATTGTATCATATCATACTAACATAAGTCATTTAGCTATTTTTAGACAAATGAAAGAAATGCTTACGCTTTTATTATCCTTGTTTTTACGAAGAGTTTCAAGTTCATACGTTCTTCTTACCAAGGACATGAGGTAGGTGGGAACCTACAAATACAAACATAAAATTACATATTGCACATGTGTAATAGAACAGTGACAATTTAAAATAGTTAACTACATAAGAAAAGAACTAGGTGATGTTCCCCAAATAGTTTTCGAACACAGAGAAGTCGTTTCTTGTTGATATCTCTCATAGTTGCAAAGTTTAAAGAGCACATTTTGACATAATTACCAATGAAATTCACATGTAAAATGCAAATTTTTTCCAGTGTACAGTTAAAATTATTCCCTCCTTCAGTCTTATCACTTAAGTTTTTACAGTAACTATAATCACTCTAAAAGTTTGTATTATATAATAACTTACTGTCCACAATATACCCCTATAGCGTATCAACATCTTCATAATATTAGAGGTATTAGCTGCCATTTTGATTTCAATATCCCAAACTGCCTTGTTCTTGGCAGGATTAGAGCCCCGTACTTTAGGTGCCATGAATAAATTAGGTGCCATTATCATGGCTACATTGTTTAAACTCATTTTATTGGTGTCCTTTTGTTCTATCACTCTTTCCAGGAACTCCAGTAATACCTGAAACATGTAAGTGCCAATAAAGTACCAATGTATCAGCCTTAATAGTCTTCCGGCACTAGCCTAGCAATTTAGATTGGAATAGAAAGTACTTAAAAATTGTTTAAAAGCATACATTATGAATACAACAGTATTTTGTACATGTGCAACATGATAAAAGTTCTATGTCAGTTTTACAATATTTAAAACATTAAAATTTTTATGTCTAACTGTACAATATGTAAAACGTGAAAAATTTATGTCTCCTGAAAAATATGTGAAACATTATTCATTTCTGTCTGATGAAAATATGTGGTAGGTGAAAAATGTATGTCTATGAACAGTATGTGAAACATTATTTATTTCTGTCTACTGTGCAATATTATACAATTATTGACTAGTGTGCCATTGAATATGATGTGATATTCACCGGCAGATGTCATATTGACCGGCAGATGTCATATTGACCGAGGCAATAGCAGAGGTTTATTTTTTTTTATTTTTTTTTTTTTCCAAAATATTTTCATACTCACATTAAGTGTGTCTCTATGTACAGTAGGTAATAGTAGAATAAGGAGATTCAAAGCATGTAACTGTTGTTTCTTGTCCGGCAAGTCTGAAAGTACAAAACACAATAAAAACAAGTGGCACACTTTACACATATGGGAAAGGACTACAGGAAGGAATAACTCAGGATATTTAGTGCGATTCTTAGCTTGATTTGAGTTGAAAGTGATTATAGAGGATATTGAAAAATTGTAAGTTTAATACTGAATTTATTGAACGAGTTACATGAATTTAACATTTTATTCAGCACATACCAAAAATTAAGACAGAATGAAATTAAAAATAACCATTTTTCATTGACGTGCCTATTGTATAACGCTTAAATTTAGCTAATCTTAACGCTATGTTTGTATAACAAAAATGACGTCACAATATATATGCACGACCATGCAATACTATTTTTACAGTGCCACAAAATTTGCACAGGTATGTGTTAAGAATGCTTTTCATTTTCAGGTTACTTTGCATTACAAGAACGATTATCTTGAAAAACAGAGTTTAACAAATGAACTTAAATTTGCACACAAGTGTTTGGTACAGACCTACATTTATTTTGGACATAATGAGTTATTAATTGTTCATGCAAAGTGAATTATAGAATTTAAAGGTATAATGGCATAGTGTAAACTTTGACTTTCATCTGTTCACTCATGATATACCCCTGGATGGACATGTCATTTTATTGCTCAGCTACTCCGGTTATTTCTGGCTCATGGAGGCCTTTATTTTATTTTCTTCAAAATAAACTTAAATGACCTCCAATGAAGTCCAAAAGCCTAAATTAGAATAAAATTTTCTGACCTAGATCAGCTGGGGCAGTTAAAAAGTTATACAATGCATAATATAATTAAGAAATACACCCAGAAATGAATAGAAAAATCTATTTTTGTGGTATTTTAGCCTTAGATTAGAGAGAAAACCAATTCAATTTTGGATCATTTTTTCTTAGTAAGATTATTCTGGAAAACAAAGCGAGCAAGTAAACACATGTTATTGAACCAGACAGATATCAAATGGAGCATCAATTTCATTTTTTTCCCCCCAAGTCCTCATGCAGTGGTGTCCCTTTGATTATACTTACTTTCAACTTGAGCAAATGCTTCAATATATTCGTCGGTAAGTAATGGAACAGGCAGATCTCTCAGGAACTGTTTTAATAGTGCTGCCACGTCATTTGGTGTTAGATCATCACCCCATATAAATGTGCCCTGATAAAACCTTTCCTCAAACTCCTGCCTCAGTTGCTGCAATACATATTACATACATGTATATCCTATAGTAATATATTTATATATAAAATGGCATTATATTAATATTGCATGAAGTCACAAAAGGTTTTTCATTCACTAATATTAATATTGTTTGTGAAGAAAGGAACATAATTTTGCCATCTGTGATGAAATCACACAGGCCTAAGCCACTTGACGATAATCATTCTGTGTTGATTGGATTGAAATCCCTTTAGAAATGCATGACTTCCAGCAGAAATTATCGAGACCCTAATCCACCCACCTGCCAACATTTCATCATACTGGAAAACCTGGTGCATTCAGTTTTTGCATCTCAAAACCAGAAGATCAGAGTAATTATCGCAATGAATTTATTGACTATAAAGAAACAAAACTTTTCAGCTTTGCTTTTCAAGTTTATTATCAATTTTAACTTGTTTTCTGGTCATATCTTGGCAGTTGATCCTCTAACCGGCTTGCCTGGACAACTCACAAGTAATTACCAATTTCTCTATAAGTGACAGACAACTTATCCTACATGATATAATTATGAATCAGTGGTTAAAGGACAAATGACAATTAGACCCTGCAATGTCACAGATCAATCGTCATGGAGATATTACGCCTCTAGTTAAGAGGATGGAATAAGTAACACCTGGATTACTAATCTCATGCTCTCCTTACAGCTATGCAGACGGAGCTGAAACTTCATACACACAAGACATTAATGTGTGCTGAAAATGTCTATTTCTACGAATAGTACCTAGATTCAATTACACGATAATATGCATGTCTATAAATACAATCTCTTACCTTAATACGACTAGTAGAGCCAGGTACTCGTAGTATGCCTTCTGTATCCAAACAAAATTTGACTAAATATGACACGATCTGAAAGGGAAAGAACACATGAGTAATTAGCATGTAATACAATTAATAAGTTGTTATTTTTATCAGTAATTCAAACATGAAATACTGCCTGTACGTAATAATGTCAATTTTCATTGGACAAAGTACAAAACGTATGAATTACAAATCTGTCATTTGTATTTTTTTTACTGAGTTTTTACATCGCAGCAACACAGTATAGGTCATATGGCAACTTTCCAGCTTTACTGGTGGAGGAAGACATCAGGGGCATTACTTTAGGCACAAACAGGCACCTGAGTTGAACCACTGACCTTCTGTAAGCTTAGGATTTAAGTATACCTATCAATACTTACTTCTTGAAACACAAGTGGTATTCTGGCATTAGGTTTTAATTTCTGGTCCTGCTCTAACAAGGTTACTAGAGGGACCCCAAATATACCATGCTCTGTGAAATATACAATAATATGATTAATTATTATAAAAACAAAAATATTTTACTGTTATTTTGGACTGGTTTTTTTTATGCCCATTTTACAATAGTTTTGGTCAAGTCTTTGCAGCCTGTGCACTTAACCTGTTGGATTATAATCAAGTAATGACAAATTTCTAATACTTTTCACACATACATTTCTGAATCATTAGTGAGAGACAGATGCCAATAAAACTCAATGACCCAGATCAGTAAGTGTCCCATAGAAATAGGGAAATAGGGCCTTGCCCGATGATCGAAATTGGGGATCCCAGGACTTTGCGTATTGAACTTAGATAAGCAAGCATTAACAAATATTAGAACCTTGTTCTATGAAATATTCACAATAAATGATTATCTCATTCAAATGCAAAGAAACTTTGTATCTTACTGAATTTGTGTAATTCATATTTTAATTTTGGAAAACTGTAAAAAGACGTTGCATTGTCATAATTCTGTATTAATTGAAAATATACTAATTTGCACAGTTTGTGGTAGTACATGGAATAGAATAAATAATCACTTATTCCTGCCCACTGCTGAAATTCACAAATACATTTATCAAGATTTTACTTAAGAAAACCTCATTTATAACCTTTTAGAGACTTCCAATTAAAACTTAGTTAATATTCCTAATTACATACCTTTGTGCCTTTTCTTTGTGCGTCTACGACTATAGTTTATATTATGTGTATCATACATGGAGGTAAGTTCAAGTAAAGCATTATTTCTAACGTAGGTGACGTCCATCTCGCTGATGTCATCTATACACGTTAAACCTAACTTGTCTGGTACTAGAGTAAAATTCTGAAAAACAGAAAAGTGTCAAGTAGGAAGTAAAATTTGGATATACTTTTTGGATAAAAATAACAGTTTCACTCAGAGTTAATATATCTTATTTTATTTTTTTTTAATTTCAACAGCTTGCAATGGTTTGAAATTAATCACAACACTGACCAAGCATGTGCAATATAGCTCATTTAAGAATAAAATTCTAATAAAAAAGTGTTGGGAGTTTCCGGAGACGAAGAGGGTTTTTATGTGTAGATGAGAGGTGTGGCTCTAAAGAGACTAAAATTTAATCAATTTGAATATAGTAGTTTTGGAGGTATTGAAACTGCTGTTGTAATAATATTATTTGCTCTATACAGGCCCTGTCTAATGATTGCACTGTATGATTATGTGTCAAGAACTAGAAGTGTTACTGTTACTCACAGGTAGATCAAAGGCGTTCACTTGGCTCATCACTGTATTGTTACCATGTGGAGATAGATCTCCACCGTTCTCCTCCAACTTGAAGTCAAACGTTATATCAGTGTCTGATATGGGAGATAACTGGCTCCAGCGTTTCTGTACCGTTCCTTTCTGCTGTAAACTCAGCATCTCCACACCTGTCAAATATAAACAAGGAAGATAATCATCTTCATCATATACAAATGGGATGAAAAGGAAAATAATTATTTTTTAGGATATTAAAAGAGTAGATAATATGTTCATGACATGAAATTTTAATTCACATGGGGAGGGAGAGGATCGGGATTAGCTATGACTAAAGCATAGATGTTACATACCGGTAAGCTACAGGGTTGTCCCTAAAATTCTAAAGCAGTCCGTTTTGAATTTAAGGCAGACATTTTAAGCTTTACAAACAACAAGCGAGTCTCTGAGGTTCACTGAACATTTAGATTTTCAGTGGCCCCAGTAACAGTGACCTAATTTTAGCTTAAAATTCATCTTTGGCTAATACTCTGTGGAAAATTGCAAGGGGAAAAATTATCACCGCTTTGTGCTTCAAAATTAACTCTTTAATTGCAAGACTGGTGACATAACTGGGGTCCGTTCTCAACAGGGAAAGTTGCTTTTTATGCCTCAATGGACCGTCTGACCCTCATTAAACATAGAACACAATGTATTATATACAAAAGTGGGTTTTCTTTTTTTGAGGTGTCCCAAAATTCACTTTGACTAACAGCCACCTCTTAATTAAAACCCTGGGATACATCTTTTCTAAATTCTCAGATTGCACAATTTTTACCTTGCTGTACATTATCATGCACTTCCTCTGACATTCCAGACATAGAGTAACCTCCCTTGTTCTTCATGAATGACCCTTTACCTCCCTTGTTTCTGCTCCACTCTGGGTGGACAGTTTCACTTCGCGGAGATATTGGACTCTTTGGGGTCTGAAAAAGACATCATACATGTATTAATACCCGGGTATTACAAGTTATAGTTAAGGATATATAATCTCATAATGAAGGAATGCCAGGATTTTAATTTTCATTCTCATGACTAGTAAATAATTTACTGCTAGATTTGTAGAGCTTTGAGATTGGAACAGTGCATTATTATTTTGATGAGTAGAATTTACAATTATCAATAACCTAATTCTAATAATAGAAATTAGGCTAAAATTATACAAGCTATGAAAACAGTTTAAAGGGTTTTTGACAGATGAAGTTTACAAACTAAAAAATTTATAACACAATGGAATTCAATATAAATGACTTTACTTTCTTAAAGTGACTATGCTCATTAATATAATAATGGTATAAAGTATGTTAACACTATCCTATACATGTATGAAGCATCATATTTCTATTATATACCACTGGATGTTTTAATTTAAGCTACCAGATAACATATCACTAGTGAATATAAAGTTGAATTAAAGCAAGCTGCTCATAGAGTTGACCTAAAAATTAAAACATGACAAAAAAGTTTGAAAGGTAACATTTGTGAAACACAGATGCTGACATGTAAACTAATCATAAATAAACGTGAAATTTCAAATTTTTTGAAAAATTTGACCTTGAAGATGAGGATGATTTAAAATGTAAGGGGAAAGTTATTCTAAGGTCATTTTTTCAGGACATCAAAATAAAGCTATTGCCAATAAGTTATGCACATTTTGTTTTAAATTGTAGCATGCACAAAGATTTTTCACAAAAATTACTTGTTTGTAGAAAGACCTTATATACAGATTATACAGAATTTAATGAGTTCAATTGTGTAGAAAGCTTACAGATTATAGACACACTCTCAAATCTGTTCCTGGAGTCAACCAGTACTGAGCAATAAGTGCAAAACTGCTTACACAAGTAAACAATTACTTGCCTCTGACCAGGTTTGAACCCACTCGGAGAGCAATCCTTAGATTATGTAAGTTACTAGACATATTAATTTTATACACAGATCAACAGACAGAACACAAAAATATGCCCTATCAATGCAAAGACATAAAGATCATTGAGCAGCTTATAAACTTCAAGGCATCTCTATGATTAATTTGATAATGATTATCAACAACTCAATAAATAAGATGATAGTATTTGAAAATGTCACCAATGATCTAGATTCCATTCAAATTGCAAAACACTCAAAGTGGTGCCAGTGACAAGCAGTTTGAGGTCAGCTACCTTATAATAATCACTTGGAAATTAAGGAGGCACCCCTGACATATAGGTAAAAGTGTAATACTAAATTGATCAAATATTTTTTTTATTAAAAATCTTAAAGTTTGTTAGAATTTTGTACTGTCACTAAAACACTGTAAAAGTATAATTATTTTATTTTTTTAACAATTGTTCCATTTTAAAAGTGTACACTTTAATATCCATTTAAAGTGAATACAAAATGTTAAACTATAAAGGTGCTTTAAGTGATAATTGAAGTTATCTCACTTAAAAAAAGTCAAGATAAAATGCTGCTGTACATGGCTAGATAGAGATTAAAACAGTTATAGCTTCACCATTAAGATTGTATTTGCACTAGGAGACAAATAAATGTCTATTCAATCAAGTGTTATAATCTATGACATGTCTACCTGTAATGTTTGCTTTATTACTCATTTTTATTTTCACTACATTTTCCCTCTGATATATAAATGGATCAGACATAGATTTTGTGTGTTCAAGGTTTTCTTGGATTTTAAGGCATACAATTGCAGGTCATGGTGCTTTACTGGTTGAGGTTCAAGACCTCATGTGCCCACTCTGTACATCAAATACCAAATAGAACTAATATACACATATAAATTTGTGTATAATGACATGGCAAAACAAGAGCTGTCGGTAGGACAGCAACGCTCGACTATTCTTAGTAAAAAAAATGCTTGATAGAGTTACCTCCTCCTGTTTACAGGTTGGGTCATGATGGTGAACAAGTGTGCAAAGTTTCAAAGCCATATGTCAATGGACTTTGAAAATATTTGAACTATTACAAAAACTTTAACGTAAATTCTAAGTTGAAAAAGGGGCATAATTCTGTCAAAATGCTTGATAGAGTTACCTCCTCCTGTTTACAGGTTGGGGTCATGATGGTGAACAAGTGTGCAAAGTTTCAAAGCCATAATTACGTCAATGGACTTTGAAAATATTTGAACTATTACAAAAACTTTAACGTAAATTCTAAGTCGAAAAAGGGGCATAATTCTGTCAAAATGCTTGATAGAGTTACCTCCTCCTGTTTCCATGTTGGGGTCATGATGGTGAACAAGTGTGTAAAGTTTCAAAGCCATATGTCAATGGACTTTGAAAATATTTGAACTATTACAAAAACTATGTCAATGGACTTTGAAAATATTTGAACTATTACAAAAACTTTAACGTAAATTCTAAGTCGAAAAAGGGGCATAATTCTGTCAAAATGCTTGATAGAGTTACCTCCTCCTGTTTACAGGTTGGGGTCATGATGGTGAACAAGTGTGCAAAGTTTCAAAGCCATATGTCAATGGACTTTGAAAATATTTGAACTATTACAAAAACTTTAACGTAAATTCTAAGTCGAAAAAGGGGCATAATTCTGTCAAAATGCTTGATAGAGTTACCTCCTCCTGTCTACAGGTTGGGGTCATGATGGTGAACAAGTGTGCACAGTTTCAAAGCCATATTTCTATGGACTTTGAAAATATTTGAACTATTACAAAAACTTAAACATAAGTGGTTACGCCGACGCCGACGCTCGGGTGACTGCAATAGCTCTACTTATTCTTATCAAATAGTCGAGCTAAAAATTGCTTTGAATTTAGAACAGTCGTTCAGTAATAATTTAAAAAAATTTTTTTATACAATTAAATAACAGATAAAGTGTTGAAAAGTTTAGCACATGTTTACAAAATACAAATATAAATGTAGATACAATACAAAGAAACTTTGGTGCTGTGACATCTATTTATAGTACAAGCAGTAGCCCCAAACACCAACTATTTCTTGTGCTATATAAAAAAATGAATATGAGGATACGAAAATAAAAAAGGTATTCTTTAAAATCTGATTTCGAGGACCTCCTTAAGAGCATCATAAAAAGCACCTGTGTTTTTGTTTTTGTTGTTTTTTGTTGTTGTTTTTTTTTGCTGCAGAAAGGATAATTCATAAAAATGAAATAGATAGAGCAGTACAAAAAGGGCTATAACTCTTATAAAATGCAAAATTTAACAAGCAATTATCATAGTATTGCAAGCAATCCATAAGTCCCCTACCGGTAAGAGCCCAAGCAACATTTAAAGGACCATTGGCCATTCACTAAGGTTCCTAATTTGTTGAAAAAGTTCTTTAAAAGTGATCACAGGAAACAGTTTTTATGTACAGACAGACAGACTGAAGGACACTCTAAAGTTATTTTTTAAACATCCCTGTTATCAAAATATAACATTTTTAAAATCCTATCATGATTGAAGAAGTTGGAGTAAAAATTACCAATTTCTCAAAAAAAAAGTCTAAGTTCAAAAGGGGCATAATTCTGGAAATAGTCTTGCTAGAGTATTGAACACTCACAAATGTTGAGTGATAATAAGAAACATTTATATGAAGTTTGAAGTAGATACATTCAGAAAAAGAAGTTATTAAAAAAAACAATGTTTTTTTCATGAAAATTTTAAGTTCAAGGGAGGTAATTCTGATAAATTTTGTGCTAGAGTTGTAAACCTTGTCACATATGATGTGGTTGATGACAAGCAACTTATATTTAAAGTTTGAAGAAAATACCTTAAGAAATAAAGAACTTATAGAGAAAAAACTTAAAAACTAGAATCAGAAATCTTGAAATTCAGTCTATTTGTTGCCATAGCAACCAGAATTTTCAACATAGGAAGATAAGAAAAGAGTGTGCATAATTTCCATACTGCCATCTACCCATATGTCAAGTTTACATATTTTCAGTACTTTTTGTGTTATCACTGGATCCAGGTTATGTGTAAAATTTGCCATATTTTCAGTCTATTTGTTGCCATAGCAACCAGAATTTTCAACATAGGAAGAAAAGAAAAAGACGTGCATAATCTCCATACTGCCATCTATCCATATATCAAGTTTCATAAAAATATTTTCAGTACTTTTTGCGTTATCGCGGGATCCAGGTTATGTGTAAAATTTGCCATATTTTCAGTCTATTTGTTGCCATAGCAACCAGAATTTTCAACATAGGAAGAAAAGAAAAAGACGTGCATAATCTCCATACTGCCATCTATCCATATATCAAGTTTGAAATATTTTCAGTACTTTTTGTGTTATCGCGGGATCCAGTTTTGTGGACGGACGGACTGACGGACGGACAGACGGACGGACAGACGGACGGAGGGTAAACCTAAAGTCCCCTCCGGTAAACCGGTAGGGGACTAAAAAGTACATAAATGTAACTGTTGCAAAATTTGTATATTAAACATAATACTGTGTAATAATCTACTGTATATAAAACAGAATTTTAAGCCTCTTTATTTATTTTAACTTGGCACAATAAACATTTTTCAAGTTTTAGTAAAATTTAACCCATAAAATTATAAGAATTTAAGAACCAATCATATAATAATTCACTGTATATGTAATGATTTACAGAATGCATAACAATTTTCAGTATATTTATTTTATATTAATTTATTGTATATCAATATAATAAGTAACCCTAATATAATTATGTATATAAATTATTTTACCATAAATATAATAATTACCCATATAATTATATAACAATTTACCACATGTATACAGAAATTGCTCATCTGTTTGCTGTTATAGTGTCTTAGACAACAAATAAAGCAGGCAATACATACCACTGTACCTAAGCTATCAAATTTGATGATATTATAATTATATTTCTAATTAAGTGTTAGGAGTACAATTTTTAAAAAAAAATCTGCTTCGGATTATCCAGGCCATTTCCTCAGACAACTTGAATGATATATTATCTTGTTAGGCTAATAAAATATTAATGTCATTATTAAAACTAAAGCTAAAAGCAGACATAATCTATGGTCATATTTAAGAAATGTTATGTTGTTATAGCATTACAATTTAAGGTTCAATTTTTCATGTTAGAATACTCCACCTATCTCTATGCCTTGAACAATTTTCTAAGGGGAATAAAGCAAGTTAAAATAATCCATGCTTTAATTAAATCAACTCCTTTTAATTGTTCAAATACATCAGGATTATTACAAAAAGAGGGCCATGATGGCCCTGAGGTCGCTCACCTGTATGTAATAAGTCCCCCCCACCCCGGGCCAATTTTTACCCAAGGGCTTTTATTTGTTTATTTGAACAGACTTGGTAGACACCCATAAGAAGATGTTTCATGCTAAACATCTAAATTCTAGCTCATTGGCTTTTTTAAAAGAAGATTTTTAAAGTTTTTACTATACACATATAGTTAAAAACAATGACACCCCTGGGGCAGGGCCAGTTTTGACCCCCGGGCGTTTATTTTAACAAACTTTGTAGATATTTATTTAACAAGAGCTGTCCGTAAGACAGCGCGCTCGACTTTTTTATTGCTTGCCAATAAAAAAAGTTTTTGCAGTAAAAGGCAATACAAGAATCTCTGTATTTTTAAAGTGAACAATGGCCATGAGCATTAAGATATTTAGTGAAGAATTATTTTATTATGACATAATTTATGGTAAAGTGAACAAGTGGATAGGAATGAATTTTTTTAGATTTTTTAAGTTTTTTAGTGCTTGCCTATAATACAAAACATTGACAGTTAAGGGCCATAATTCAAATAAAATCTTTGACAGAATTACCTTCTCCTGGACATGTTTGGGAATCATGATTGTAAACAAGTATTCCAACTTTCAAATTAATATCTCAAACAGTTCAGTCAAAAAGTGGACTGGTACTAAAAACTTAACCAAGATTCTAAGTCGATAAAAGGCCTTAATTTTTAAAACAAATCCTTGACAGAGTTACCTTCTCTTGCGTACAGATGGGGGTAATGATGTGAAATAGCATTAAAAGTTTCAAAGCAATATCTCAAAGGGTTAAGGCAATAAGTGGATTTTACCCATATTCAATGTATTTTCTAAGTCAAAAAGGGGCATAATTCTGTCAAAAACCTTGACAGAGTTATGTCCTCTTGTCTGTTGATGAAGGTCGTGATGGTAAACAAGTATGGTCAGTTTCAAACCAATACCTCCAATGGTTTTGAAATAAAGTGAGGTGGTACAAAAAACTTAACCAAGCTCAATACACTTTCTAAGTCAAAAAAGGGCCATAATTCTGTCAAAAACCTTGACAGAGTTATGTACTCTTGTCTGTAGATGGAGGTTATGATGGTGAACAAGTATGGTAAGTTTCAAAGCCATACTTGTAATACTTCTGAAATAAAGTGGGGTGGTACGAAAAACTTAACCAAGGTGTGACGCCAACGCCGACGCCGGGGCGAGTAGGATAGCTCCCCTTTTCATAGAAAAGTCGAGCTAAAAATGTTTCATGCTTAATATCTAAACTCTAGCTATTTGGGTTTTTCCAAAGAAGATTTTTAAGTTTTTGCTATACACATATAAGGAAAATCAATGACCCCCCCCCCCCCGGGCGGGGCCAGTTTTGACCCCAGGGCTTTTATTTGAACATACTTTGTAGACACCTATTAGAACATGTTTCATGCTAAATATCTTAGCTCTAGCTCTTTGAGTTCTTTAAAAGAAGATTTTTTAAGTTTTTACTATATGCATATAGGGAAAATCAATGACCCCCTGGGGCGGGGCCAATTTTGACCCCAGGGCTTTTATTTGAACAAACTTGGTAGACACTCATTAGAAGATGTTTCATGCCAAATATCTACGCTCTAGCTCTTTAAATTGGGTTCATTAAAAGAAGATTTTTTAAGTTTTTACTATATGCATATAGGGAAAACCTATGACCCCCTGGGGCGGGGTCAATTTTGACCCCGGGGCTTTTATTTGAACAAACTTGGTAGACATTCACTAGAAGATGTTTCATGCCAAATATCTAAGCTCTAGCTCTTATGGTTCTTTTAAAGAAGATTTTTTAAGTTTTTACTATATGCATATAGGGAAAATCAATGACCCCCGGGGCGGGGCCAATTTTGACCCCAGGGCATTAATTTGAACAAACTTGGTAGACACTCACTAGAAGATGTTTCATGCTTAATATCTTAGCTCTAGCTCTTTGGGTTCTTTAAAAGCAGATTTTTTAAGTTTTTACTATATGCATATAGGGAAAATCAATGCCCCCCTGGGACGGGGCCAATTTTGACTCCAGGGCTTTTATTTGAACAAACTTGGTAGACACTCACTAGAAGATGTTTCATGCCAAATATCTAAAGCTCTAGCTCTTATGGTTTTTTAAAAGAAGATATTTAAAGATTTTTCTTTTGGTTGCCATGGCAACCAGAGTTCTGCATGGAATTAAATTCTTTGAACAATTTTTAAAGGTGACCACCAAAGGAACATTCCCGTGAAGTTTGGATGAAATTGGCTCAGTGGTTTATGAGGAGATGTCATTTAAAGCAAAAGTTTACGGACGGACGGACGGACGCCGGACGCCGGACAAAAAGCGATCACAAAAGCTCACCCTGTCACTTTGTGACAGGTGAGCTAAAAAGAGTAAAAACAAAGGGAAGTAATTTTGGCTATTTGGATAATTATACCCAGCAATGTGCACTATCTGAATATTGATGACTATTTATGCTTAGAATTATTTTACCACTGTAAATCAATTTATTTCAAAGTACAAAAGTAGGTACTACAGTTAACTACATGACTTGTTGCAAATGAATTTCTTTTAACCAATTACGGTCATTAATAATTTTGGTTTTTTTATTTCTTTTATTTAACTTACAGTTAAAATTATGCTTTTTTTCCCCTCAAAAAGCATCATAGATTTATATCACAACTTTAAATCAAATAAATTAGGCAAATTTTCGTTATATATTAAGGTGGAAACAAACATTTAATTGACCATTGGCCTAGAACACATTTAGAAGAGGGAGACATGTTAAAATGCTTTATTATAATGATAAATGAGTTAGTGATACACCATTGTCTAGTATATACAAGTAGGTACAATTTCTCTCAAACCTCTATTATAATGTGGTTGATATATTTATTGGTTGTGGGGCTCCTTGGTGAAATCTGAAACAAAATTCATAACTATACGTTTTAACACTGAACAACAGTAACAATACCTAGAGTAAGTGTCCCTATTTATAAATAGCTAAATTTTTTTTTTATAAAAGTGGACATAAAATACTAAAGACATTTTAATGTATAAAAAGCTTGAAATTGATGATCAGTCAAAGATTCTCTCATCTGATTGGTTGATTTTAATCAATTATTTGAATATGACCAATCAAATTAGTTTTTAATCAAATATTTTAAAATTGGCAAATCAAATTATAATGTTTCATATCACAAATTTTGGACCAATCAGATTCTTTATATTCCTTGACTGCATAACTTATCAATTAGCAAATTATAACCTTATACCTAAATAAAAAACTTGTATTTGGAACAATAACTTTAATTGATTGCTTTTAATAAATAATAGAAACACCTTAGGTTTATGATAAGAAATCAGTAAAGCTCTTGTTTTCATTTTTCTTCATTTCCAAGTATCTTCTTTTACAGAACACATTAAATATCGATCTTGACAGTTTTTCTTTACTAAATATTTGGGCCTTTAAATATTTATTTAATTTGTAATTCAAAATACTGATTTTATTGTGTAGACCTAAATTAATATGTTAGTTTATACTACATCAACAGTTGTTTCAAATGAAAAAAAAATGTAAACATTAAAATTCTGTCCATTTTCTTTAAATAAATGTTACATGTTTATAATAATTAAAGCACTAATTTAAGCAATTTAGAAATTTAGATTAGAAAACAAGCTAACAAAAACCCATTGCATCTTCGATAACATTATAAGTCAATATGATATGCTGAAAAAGTAAATATAAGTGATGAACATAATTTATAGAATTTCAATACTATCAAAATGCAACCTTTGCCATTTTTATTTTAATATTAAAAACAGATAGCTGTATATATGTATATAAAAAGATTGTAAAAATAACAGTAAGGTCGGAAAATAAGATTAAGGTCAAGAGGCTTCAGTCAAGGACAGACTCATAGGATAAGATAAAACCAAGTGAAAAAACCAAAATGCCATCTCAAATAATAAACTAAAACATACACAACTTTGAAACAAAGAATACAGAAATTTGCAAGTGCAAATTATGTGATGTTCAAGGACATCTTTGAAATAAACTAGTTATCCAATCTGAAAAAATAAAATACCTTCACACAAGTTTGAAATCAACTATACTCCTACCCCTGGACAAAATTGAAATGAACTATTCCTGCCATAAAGAATTGCCACTGAGTAAGTCTATGTAAACTATACTCACATCTGAAGAAAATGCGATTAAATCAGGGCATGTTTGAAATCCTCTTTACTCCCATAGATGAATTGCAATATATTAATTAATTTCATATAATTTGAATTATTTGTAAAGAAATTTGTTTCCTAACCTTTAACACAAACAGGTGATTTGTGTTTAAGACTGAATAAACATATAAATTTGAGATGCAAAGTGTATTCCTAAGGGAAGACTGTGATCTAAATGTCTTGAACACAACTCAAATAATGCCACAGCATGCACAATGGTGGTTACATGAATGTCTATATAATTGTGTGATACAGAAACTCCAACTAATCTACAGGCAAACAATGTTAAAACCTCTACAAAGTGAAAACCACAAGTCTATTGAGTGAACGACTAACCTCCGATACAGAGTTCTGACGTTTTCTATACGAGAGCAGAGTGGCTGTCCTTTCACACTCCCCTGAACTCTCTAAGGGACTCGCTGTTTCAGTGATTGGTGAATACGAACTTCCTGGGCTGCCATTGGGGGACATGTGACCTAGTTTATGTCTAAACGGAATTTTACGCGGGAAACATGAGGCAGAGTCTACAGTGTCTAAAGAATCATGAGAACTTGAATGTTCAGGGTTTAGTAAAGACTCAGAGGAAGCCAATCCTGAATCCACAGAGTCAAGTGTGTCGCAAGATGAACTTCTTGACCTCTGAAGGCTGTTCAATGAACTTAAAGAATCTTTACTGTCTGACCTTTGCAAATGGCCAAACTTTAACTGACAACCCTGTTTATCACCTTCAGAATAATGCTGGTTTTCTTTGAAAAATTCAGATTGTTTAACTTCTACTTTATCTTCCTCTTCTAAATTGCATTCAGTTTCTGAGTGATGACTTCTATTTTTAAACCCAGAGTAAGTAGTTTTCTGCTGGCTTTGGCCTTCATATTGTTCAAGATCAGTATTTTTCCATTGGCCTTGACCTTGATTATAATCTGAATTGGTATTTTTCCACTGAGATTGTGATGGGTCTATATATTTCAAACCAAGCTGTTTTTTGTTCCTCTGCAAAGAATATAGAAGGTAATAAAAGTGTTTGTTGCACACATTTGTTGACATTGTTTCCAGCAGTTGTGATCTTGTCTATGGGCTAATTGAGACACATATTTAAATCACTCTTTATCTTTCAGTACATGTGAGTCAGTAAGGGTTGAAATTTTGAGGGGCTTTTATTTTTAACAGCAAGCACTCAACGAGTTTACAATCAAAATCTTACAGCATGATTGCTGACCATTTTAATGAGCACAATAATTATTGCTTTTACGGTATGCACATTTAAAATTTTAGTAGTGATTGTTTGTTTGTCTATTTTTCTATGCCGATTAAAATTAAACAAATTTTTGATTATATCTTTGTGGTCAGTTCACCAAAATGACTTTCTGAATAACTAACATGTAAGTATCATTTTAGTGTGAATAACTCTTAACCCAGCAATTTAAATAAAGTTATTACATGAAAATAATAGATATCTTATGTATTTCTTTTGCATTTATTGGCATTAGATATAAAAATAATTTGTCACCTTAGTGCAGTAATAGGTTAACTCAGAATAACTTCTACTGAAATTTAATACGAGTTATTACTCATTACTGCACTAAGGTGACAATTATATATAACACAATCAGTTTTCTACTATTTTTCATACTTGTACTGTAAATTTCAATGATTTTATCTGAATATTAGAACTCTGAGAACAACAAAAACAATGGTACAGAGTGTAAAGACTTGTTTTTCAATCAAAAAGATAATGTAAAATGTAGGAAAAAATGCAAAAATATTGAACAAGTAGGAAAAGATTAAACATTGATTATCTCCATTGAGGTAAAAAACCTTTCCTGGAATCTTTGCTTGTTAATAATATATGTTAATTTTACATTAAAAGATATCACTTAATTAGCACCTGAAAGATTTGAGGGGAATAAGAAACATTTTTATGGCAGATTTAAGAAGCACTTTGTTAAAAAGTTAAAACAATATAGTCATACTGTGTGACATCATCACAAACAGATGAGATGTGAAAAATTAAAGTAATCCATAAATGGAGAAGAAGAGACATCTTAATGCAGATAAAACATCATAATTTTGTTAGGTTTTCATGCTTATTTCAACAAAAGTTTTGTCATAACTACACAGTCAGTCCTGTTACCTCAGAATGGGCTTTCCTGAATATAACTTACCAGTATTTAACCATGCCCCCTTAAACCTCTATTTATAATAGTGACCAACTTACTTAACAACATATTTTTTGACTTGGCAATGAAACATAATGACCATTAGCTCAATGAGATTAATTATAAAAGTTATTTGCTGAGAATTGCATGTGCAACGGAGTTGAAACATTAATTGTTCGTGTGTGATAATTATTTATAAAGCTCATGCAAGTTTAAATCAATGCCTTCATCTTAAAAGGAGGATGTTGTAACTCAAGTGTCATTCAGCATTTTTCATTTCTTTCCATTTGTTTTAATACCTCACAGACACTTAGATGACATAATAATATAAGTAACTTTCACTGAAGGAAGAAGACAAGAAGTCCTTACAAGTTTCAGGCACAATCACCCGTCATCTGTGTAAGAAGATGAAGAACCACAATTCAATATATCAAGCTAGCTAGATGATTATTGTGGGCATTTACTTTATAGCCTTGGCCTTAAACTTATCCGATGACTATGCCCGGGTTGGTATTAAATTTACACAATTTATGTAAAGGTCATAACTGGCAACTTTCCTGTCTGCTCTCAAATGTTACCAGTGGAGGATCTCAGGCACTAGCAAGCCCGAGACTTTCCATAAGTAAGATGATTTACAGCGGAAATATTTGCACCTCCAGTCACAGGTGTGTAGCTAATCATACAATTTCAGCAAACCTTAAACCACTGAGGCCACACCGAGGACCAACAAACTTCAGCATTTTTCACTTGTTTACATCTCTATAAACTCTTTCTGACCTTTTAAATAAATAAATGCGCAGTTTTGTATCATGTAGAAAAAGATATAATTAAACTATAACTCCAATCCATAGCACAATCAGATTAAACATATTAAAATCAGGGAATATATTCATATCAGAAAACATGCATAATTTGGTTAATCATCAAATATATATAATATAATATTGTAAGTAAATAAAGAACTAAGGAAATTAGTAAAAGAATATAACAAGTTAGTCTGTGCATGCGTGAGATCCAACCTGACGTGTCCACAGACTGCTGTCACCATTATAGGAGCCAAATTTGATACCCCGGGGAAGGGTTGCAGGCCTCCTAGCCAACTGAAATGGTGGTTGTCATGATAATGTTATTCTCATGCAGTATTTTTTATATGAAATATTATAATTGCTACAACTGAGATAATAAATACATTCATTTACATTATATATAATTATATACATGTATTACAGAAAAGTCACGGGAAAAATCCATCACTGACCAGGCGCAGACAAAATGAGAAAAACATCAAGGCCCTGGTGGTGTGGTGATATATAACATATTAGACTGGCACTCCAGACACCCTTAATTGGTTTGAAACCTGGTACAGCACTTAAATGGATGATTTTTGCATGTCTAGAGCAGAGAAGTCATTATATATACCTATATCAAGTAGTCAAGTATACAGAGTTTATTTTAGTTGTTCCTGGAACCAAACAGTACTACGATATATATAATAAGCAAATTGGTGTAAATTTAATTTCTTGCTCAAGACAATAATGGCTTGTCAATGACATGGTTTGAACTTCTGATCCAGCAATCATTAAGGTTACTAGTCTGACATGTTTACACATGACCATGTCTATATCAAATATACTGGTGTATTGAAAATTAATTAACAATTATGCTCATGCAATATTATAAATGTGATATCATAATATATGAATAGTGATAATTAACCAATCAGAAATCAGGATTAAATTTTGTGTATAATATGAAATTTATCACATTCCTTATTCATTTATTAAAAAAATTCAATAAATGTGCATGTATTATTTTGTACCTGGATTGCAGAGAGAAATTTCCATTAAAAAAAAAAACAATTAATTTATTAGATGTATAAACATAATCTACACAATTATATATGTAATATTATATACATAATATGTTTCTACATAATATGCTACTCTTTGTCAAGGATATACTCCCTTACGGAATTCACTTATAAGTCACTTATAGGCTATTTTATATGTAGATTATACTTCACTTAGTCAATTCACCTATAAGTCAAGTATATGTATTTTAAATGCAAATTAGATGTAAGTGCAGTATATGTCTGGCATTTTGACATATAAGTGAAGTATAAGTTATATATAAGTCACAAATATGTGACATGTAAGTCAAAGATATGCTCAACTTATAAGTAACATATAAGTGACTTATATGTTACATATAAGTGACTTATATGTTACATATAAGTGACTTAATATAAGTCACTTATAAGTAACATATAAGTCACATGTAAGTCGCATATATGTTGCTTGATGTCAAAAAAGCTTGAAATAAAATAAAAGTTTAGTAATTTAATTTCAAAAATGTTTATTAATTTATATTCATAGTCATATAAATGAGCAAAATACAAAATTCAACATACATATCCTTCAGTTCAATCATCTTACATTCACTATAACAAAAACAATATTCATTTCTAGCAGCAAGTTTTTGTTTTTTACTGGTTTTCTTGGAATCAAACACTTTATTTATACAATTATTTTGCTGGAAGTCTGTCGGTGAGGAACTGTTCAAATCATAAATTTGATCAAATGTTTCTGATTATTCAAACTACTATTTCTTTTATTGATGTCTGTTTCAGTGCTCTGCTTCTATTTCCTCGGAGAACTTCATGTGGCTGTGTTCACCTTTAAAGATAAAATTCATAATTAATTAAAAAAGATGTGGAATAAATTCCGACCATTGTAAATGCAGTTATATTTCATATTTGTATATCATCAAAGTATATTAGCTATTTATGCTTATGCATATACAAATATACTAAGTTACACAGTATCTCATTTTAGTGCACAAGTCAACAGTGTTGTTTAAGAATTGCTAAAAGTCTCTATAAGAATTGATTAACAGCACTATTTGCAACAACATTTATTATGCTCTTTTCTGTAAAAGATTTAGAGCAGTAAGTATAGAGATTAAAGAAACATACCTTTTCAGGCTCAATACTGCATATCATTATTCACCTGGCATCTCAAAGTAAGAACTGGTCCCACTAGCCTGCAATGTATGTAAAATGTAATATCAGAAATCTCCATTGAAAACAACAATAAAATGTTAAATGATTATGATGACCCTGTCTTATTCAGCTGCATAAAACTACTGATTGTACTATTTAGTTCTAATAATTCAATTAATTTGACTATTAAATCTAGATTTAAATCAATTACAAGTATTAGTAAATCTAAAATAAAAACAGCCTTGATCTCTCAAGTTACAAATTTTAGTTTGCTGCCATCTTACTTTGATTGTTTAATATATAACCTGTATCAATTCTGCATAAATGTAACTCAAAGGTATTTACCTGATTTTGTTGTATATCTTCTTGTCCAAGGTGATTCTTCTTGTCATTCTTATTTACCATAACTATACTTAAACATCTTAAACAAAACAATATCTCTAAATTTCCTAAAACATCAAGTAGATTCTCTGTGATTTCCACCAGCTTGCTAACCTAAATGTTTCAGACTTACAACTGTGTACCTGGGCAGGTCCAATGTTATGTGCAACAGGGTAAATCCAAAAATCAAAGCACTCATCAGTTCTATCTTACAATCATTGAATGTGAAAAAAAAATCAAATAACTAATAGATATGTAAAGTTTAAAAATCATTATACATTTTTGAAAAAGAAAATGCAATGTCATTTTTTACAAATTCAGGATAGGAAATGTTATCTTTCCCCAAAATAATCACATGGAACAGTCTGATTTGTAGGAATGACCAGTCAAAAAATTAGTCATGCACATATGGTGGCAAAGGCAGGTGGCCAGTTTTATCAGACCTCTGATCTATGTGGTGTATCAGTGGATGTAGAAAATATAAGCAATCTTCAGGCATATTGGTTCCTTGATTTTATATAGATTAAAAGGGCAATATAAACTGTTTATTTCAAGCACTGTTTTTTTTATTGTTTAAATATCTAAAATACACTAGGCCTAAATGTCTTAAAAATAACACTTGTATATTAAAAAAAATACACCTCTTTTTCTTGTTAGAATATCTTACTTCAGCGAAATTAGGTCTGTAAGAAGTACAGTAGGTAAAAACATATAGATTTCAATGTCTGTTTCAAGTTAGAAAAAAAAACAAGAGTAGAATTATGCCTTGGGTGACTTTTATGTGAAATATTTTCCTTGTGAGAAGAAGTGACATGGAATTTCATTTCTGTCCATGGTAGCCTAGAAATCACTGACTGAATGCCATTTCTGTCCCAATTCCGCACAGAATAAGTACCAAAATTTTTTACAGGTAATATACTTAATTGATTATCATTTTTTGTATTATCTTATTTAAAAACCCCCAGCTGTGTTCAAAAATTAATAAGCAATATTTAAAAAAAAATCTTAATTGTTTGTGATTAAGGTCTAAGATTTTAGTATTTTAAATTCTGAGTATTTTGATACCCATTGTGTTAAAGCAAAGAATTACAAATCAACTTCAATAAATTTTACCAATTTTCTCATGTTTTTGTACTTAGTAATTTTTTCAGCTTTGCTCAGTAATAAAAAGTCTCGCAAAAGTTCTAAGTTTTCACTTATATCTAACATAGAAACTGGTTACTTCAAACTTCGCCAGTATAAGGCACTTATAGGTGACTTGTATGTGACTTATATGTTGGGGAAAAAATGGCCAAAAGTGACTTATATGTAGCATATACCTATAACTGACTTAGACAGGTTTTTAGGTGATTTATAAGTGACTTATATGTAACTTATAGTTCTCTTATAGGTCATGTATAAGTTGCATATAAGAAACATATAAGTCACTTAAAGTCATTTTGGTAAGGGCTATTAGTACAGTAAAGAAAAGAAAGATAAATGTAGTTGAAAACAATTTATGAACAAATATTCATATATATTTTTAAATCTATAAAACCATATTTTAAAACTGAGCATATGCAGCAGAGATGACATAAATTCTGCAACATCATTACAAATCCCACTCGTAAACAATATGTTATTCATTCAATTTAGTCACATTTTTGCACCAGATATAAGCAATCATTATTTAGCAAATTAAGAAGAGGTATTTCACAAATATCACAAAGAAGTCAAATATATTATCTTGTAATACAAGACTCACAATGTAGTCAAATATCTTAAGAGTAATACTAGACTGACACTATAATTTACCCTTGTTGATCCCAAGATTATCATTGTATAAATTAACCATATCATTTACTTTAAGTTATTTTAAAACTTGACTAGTTCTATAATTAACCTCTCTTGACTCTTGATTTATCATATAACAAAAACCATTCTATAATTTACATATCTTGGTCCTCAAGTTATCACAAAGCAAGACTGGTTCTAAAGTTTAACCCGTCATGTTCCCTGAATTATCATAAATCAAGACTGGTTCTATAATTTACCTGTCTAGTACCCTCTTCTTCGCCTTCTAAAGGTTGGCTATGAATAACAGTTCTGCCCCCTGGTAGCTGTTCTGGGAATATGTTCCTGACATCTATTTTTGTTGTGTATTTTTGTTTCTTTCTCAGTGTAGCATTTAGAGTATCTACACGTCTTTTAACCACGGCAGCATGGTTGCTAGGCATGGATTCTGTGAACTTGTTGATCTCATCCTCAGAAAACTCCTTACCGGCTGTATTACACAATAAAGTAAAATAAAATATAACAAGTTTAAAAGAAAGCATTCAGTAAAACTTAACTAAAAGTACATTCTTTTTCAGCATATTCATTTTTTTTGCGTAAAACGAGTCCAGCTAGCATTGTACATGTTTATGTATTAGCTGTTTGTCATCCATCTCAAGTACTTATTTGCTTTTTTCATAAACTAATTTCTATACATATTGGTTCTCAAGACATAATATAAACAGTAATTCTGATAAAAAATAATAAAGCTCATTTTAAAAAAAATTGAGATCTGATAGACTGTTGATAGAAAGAATGATTTTATATTTACAATATCCCACCCAAATACACTGTTCATGAGAATAATAAAAGTATCATCTTGTAAAGACCTTTCTAAATAATATAATAAATCTATAATAAGTCATAAATCTAAAATAGGTCAAAAACATTCAGAATAAAGCTATTTCAATATTGCTTTAGAAATGAATTTGTCATGTCAGACAAACCAGGGTTAATTAATATCATAAAGTACCTTAAACTGGGTGGAACCTATTAATTAACTATTTGACTTGTCTGACCAACAATAATATTAACTTTACAATCGGACTTTCAACAATCAACATCTTTATTATATCAATCAAATAGTTATAAGAAACAACTTGCATCATTACTAACTAGAAATTAGTAAATGACATCTTTTGTTATCTTAAATTCCTTATAACGGGACCGTCTAAAAGCAGAGCAGTTCACCATTTAACAGTACTGTTCTTAGCCTTCGCTGGCAACTTATTCTACCCATTTGAGTGCAAACAAAGATCAGCCAGCATGTCCGCACCCTCTGATTACCGTTGCACCGTTCACTTTTTACAAAAAGTTTATAATTATTTCTTGAATTTTGTCTAAAAAATATAGTTTGCCCAAACTGAAAGATGGTTCTGTCTGTTCAGATAAAGGGCAAAGGTACACAGATATATTAAGAGGCAACTAAATTATTATGGTTCTATGAGAATGTACTATATTTATAAATACTTCTTACCTTGATACTTGGAAACAATGAATCCATACCCAGCTTCTTGTAACCATTCTGCTTCCTGCTCTCCTTCTGTAATCATAGTTACAATATAATTAATGTTTCCATAGAAACAGTTTAAACAACAAACTGAAACAATATTATTTTAATTTTTTTACATATAAGTTTCATTGTACCACCAAAGTAGCAATTATCTCAAAAGTTTGATTGTACAGCTTTAAAAGTATCTCCATAATAATAATGATAATAATAATAATAATAATAAATAATAATAATAATAATAATAATAATATTAATAATAATGTACTTATTGTTTCCATAGAAACAATGTAAAAACAATGTAAATGTATAACCACAGTAACAATGCAATAAATGTTTCCATAGGAATTGAAGACATAAAATTATCATTATTAAAACCATGAAATTTATACATGTTTCCATGTAAACAAGTTGAGGGATTACATCACCATAGTGGTTAAGGTTGTTGACTCCCAAGCACTTGCCCCTTAACCGCTATGGGTTCAAATCCTGCCAGGGACTTTGGATTATTTCATCTTCAAGAACACTGTTGGTTCTACAATCAGTAAAGCTGAAAAGTCGCCATATGACAGCTGTGTTAGTTCGACCAAAAATCCAACGTAAAAAAATCACCAAAGTTAGTAACAATGGAATTTTCAATTGCGTTCTGACTTAAGAAACCTCTAAAAACATGTAAAGTTGATTATAATGTCGCCCAACAGAAACGATATTATAAGTATTTTCATAGACAATGTATTCAAATTTGGAACTGCATGTTAAACACAGGTCTGACCACCCACAGTATAATATTATAAATGTATCATTGCTGCAATTTTGCAGGTCACTTTTGGTGCATTAAGTATTCCAATGGTGATATCGATACATCAAATGTACCTGTACCTGTAAATGATGCAGTCAATTGAATTCATTTAAATTTGACAGTTTAATGACATCTAGGGTAAAAATAGTTGTGCACCTAAATTTATTCTAAACATTTGAATAACAACAATTTTACAACATTCAGCCCTCAAAATACTGCATTTGGATATACATGTAATTTTCCTTTTTTGCCTCTTTTATGTTCAACTTTTATATCTTATAGAGCTTTATTCAGGCAATCTGGCTGTATAAAATATTATTCTACTCTCGAACACAAAGTAAACATGTAATCTAGGCAAGATAAACTAACGGGATTTAAAATGCAAATTACACGTAGCCTGTTTATTTGGTTATCAATCAAAAAGTTTTTCACTTTTCCCCTCTGTGCATACATAAAACGGTGAAATCAGTTTCTCAATGTACAATAGACTTGATATTCTAAATATATATGCTGGTGGTTAATGATTTTCAAATAATTAGCATACTTTAAGTGATACAAGTCATTTATTAAATCTCGATATAAGCTGATTGACATAATCTGTATGGGTAGTTGTTTTGGAAAGTCAATTTTAAAGTAAAATTGACCAAACTGCAGAAAAGTCATCATTCTAGATAGTGTATTCCTAAGTAAAGGCAAACAATTAATTAACCTGAACACCTTTATTTTAATGTATTGAATTTGAAAGATGACCTAAGTTGGCTCCTAAATCTAAAGGACCTTCACCTTTAAGGTTACTTTAAAAAAAAAATTGGAATATTTTATCACTTGGGAAGGTGCCATTTTGAGTTACGAACAAATCCTAGGCTTTTCTTTATCTAAACCTCATAATTATGCATGCACTAAGTATCTAAAAAAAAAAACGTAAATATCAATATTGCATAACAATATTGTACATGTATGTTGTGATCTGAGTATACCTTAAAAGCATATTAAATATGTAAAACATATCAGGGGTGGGGTGCAATAAATATACTTCAAGGTACACTAAATCTTAACATTCTAGATATTTGTTAATATTATATCACCTATAATATTTGTTTATATTATATCACCTATTATTTGATCTAAAATCTGTCTATATATATACACATGTAGTAAATAAGTTTAACATTCATTAATAAATTGATTTATAAAAAGAATAAGGCACCAAAAAATGGCATGAATTTATATTGCTAGAAGCTAGTTCACCAGTATGTTCTGCTTCATCATTTTTTCCTAACATTTACAATTTAACCAAATACATGTAGTTTAAATTACACATTTTAGTAGGGTATATCAAATTTCTAACAAAAAAGTATGTTACCGGCTTTTACAATGCTCCAGGAACCCAAAGTGAGCAATCTTTGCCATTAGTATATGAGAGCAAGGCCAGCCTATTCTAACCAGGCTCTTATACTATTGGCTGACTAAATTTAAACTTTCATCCTGATATACCTTAATTCATAATGGACATTTCCAGAAATAGAACCTGGACAAGTCCATGTAAGAAATTTAGCTGGTTAAAGGCTATTATAAATCTATGTCTGCTGTCAAATTACTTATGACTGAAATTCTGTACTCACTTTATTCAATCTAATACTTAGCTAATAAATATTTTTGAAACTTTAAAATTTAAACAAAAATAATTAAAACTTATGTTCTGGGAAAAATATTTGAACTCTAATGTTTAATAATGAAAACATTATATCAGATAATTAAACTGACTATATATAGCTACCAATTATTAAATGTTTGGATTAATTGAACTACAAACATTTAACATTCATAATATTATAAATTAATGTTACCTATACCTTAATTGCTAAATGAATATCAAATTGCACAATAATTATTGATTGAACTCATTATCGGATACACCAGAATAAAAGGTTATGTCTGACAACCTACTTAATGCATTATTTAGTTGATTTTTCAAGTCACACACAGTACAGGTGACATATGGGGACTACCTTGAGCTTTACTGTTGGAGAAAGACCTCAGTTGCAATATTTAAGTCACAAGCACAACCTGAGCAGATACCACTAACATTCAGTAAGCTCACTGGATAGCTTCCTTGCATGAAAGAATTAATTTTCCCTGGTGGGATTCAAACCCACAGTAGTGTCAAGCAAGGGATTAAAAATAAGTAACCTTTGGCCTACTTGGTCAAGAAGGACCATTCATAACCTACATTCCATGTTTAAATATTAATTCTTAATTAAGATCAGTCCTCTAGATATCAAATGGTCACATGTACTTGATTTATGACTGTACAATCACGGTTTTTTTCCAGGATTTTGGGAACATGACCCATACCCATGGAAATTGGAATTTCAGCGATGTTTTGTTAAAATTTGGGAAAAATTGCATGACTTAAATTTTGCAGTGATTAAATGAATGCAAAGAATAACTGTCTAGGAAGGCATCTTCAAACTATTAAACACCATAACAGTGAAGAAGTCCTTATTTTCTAAGATTTTAGAATTTGTTATTAAATATTTTTATTTTGTAACTTTCAATTGGGAATTTTTTCCTGTGGATTGGGAAAATAATATACTATTTTCGATTGGGAATATGACTGAATATCGGCTATAAAATAAGGCAAAAAAAATCCCTGACAATGTAAAGCCACAATTTCAAAATGAGGGCTAAATGCATAAGAAATTGTCTATATATGCACAGTATCAATCACATTTTCTCTGGCCTTTCTGTCAAATTTTGTATAAGTACCTCAAACGCAATAGTAAGATAATTCACAGAAATGATACGGTATTTTGGTCTTATACCTACACAAAGAAACAAATAGTAATTTGATGGCAGGAGTTGTTAGCTAAAGTTTATTTCAATAAATCGAGTAAAAGTCCATCTAAGTTAAGTAAATTTATAGATATAAAATGTAAACAGTATATTATTTATATACTTATTATAATGGTTGAAAAAAAACGTAAGTACAAAATATCTACCTGTTGACATTAGTTCAAATTTGTTTATAATTGTATATCCATGGGCATTTTTAAATTCATTATGATTGTCAGACCTTAATAATTTTCAATAATAATATTACCAAAAGAGGCGTTATTTTCCTTTGGATGTCATATATGTATAATGTATATATACATTATGCTTTGTTTACATATAAAATCACTTTGCAGAACTTGTAACTTGTTAACTCAATTCGTTAAGAGTCTGATCAATTGCCATAATATGTCAAAGATTTCATTTGCATGTTTTTGTTAAAACTCAGTGCATGTAGGATAAATTAGAGAGTGTCAGTAAATTTTGAATCTTTAAATTTTACAAAAAAAAAAAAACGATGACAATTTCATTTTATTTTGTTGTTAGAATGATAAACGTTGTTAAGTATCTAAGTCTAGCAGTTACTTATTTTAAATTATATATATATTTTTCTCTCTCTTGACAATGTCAAATAAATTAATGAAAACAAAGAGACAGCTCATACTTATCTAGAGCACTGTTAATTGTAAGACAATTCAAAATTTTACCGTCGGGAGTTTTAGCCCCGTCCTCATCATCTTCGTCATGCCTCTTACTGCTCCTGATGTCCTCAAACTCCTGAAAGTAGTCCCGTAAATCTCCGGGAGATTGTGCACGAGCCATCTTCTTACATAGCTACATTACAATCTGTAAATAAGCATAATTATATTTAATTATGCTGCAAGATATATCAAAATAGTTGCATTAGACTCAGTGATTTTTTTACCTCTGCATCCCAAGTCCAGACCTCAATGAATTTGCTGTGGATGCAAAGTTTCAAATAATGTGCATCTTTTGGAATGGATGCATACTTTTTCTAAGTATAGAGTCCTGTCTGACAGGAATTTGGTAATAAATACCAAATTGTGTTCAAGTTATGTCAGTCATATTCTAGGTCTGCAAATCTTCTACAGATAAGAAATAATAATGTGCTATACTATAGATATGCATAAAAATATTAAGGAAAATGAAGTTTTGATTAATATCAAACTAAATTAATGGAAATAAACTTATTAAAATCATTTGACAGTTTTGAATAATTTCAGTATCAGAAGCAGTGTAATTAATGTAGAAATCAAATTCATTTTTCTCCTTTCTATTGTTAATATACCTTTCATATCACTAAAGCAATATTAAGCCTTGTAACTTAGATTTGTCGGCTAAATTTTGGGACTTATGAGTTTGTAAAAAAATCACTGTAGACTGACATCTTCTTCGTTTATTTCTCTTTTTTAGCTGGGTTTTAAGTCACACAGACCATGTGACAGTCATATTTCTAACTTAATACTACAAACCACTGTCACCTTTGCTATAAAATGGCGGTTTAAAAACCCTCAAGTTTGCTGGGTTGTCTGAGAATTTAAGGATAAATTGAAATTTAAATTAAATGTATCAGCATACAATTCTAGACATGAAAACAGCTAATACAGTGACTCAATGAAAATGATATGTTTGTTTAAATTTTAAACATATCTAATCATCTTATGATGATAAAACAAATCTATATTATTATAAAAATAAAGTATAATGTATCATAACTATATGAAAATACCATTTTGATAAAGTAAATTTACTATATAAACTTGGAAACTTAATACCCAAGATTATTTAATGGATCTGTTGATCCATCATTCTAATGCATGAAATTCAAAAATGAACAATCAGAATACATACATAATAAAGAAGAAAACATGGCATAATTTAAAACAATAGCTTCTATGACCATGGGCTGTTGTTACAGATTTTTAAAGTTTTGCCCTGCATGCAGCTTCTGAATCTACTCATGTAACCAGTGCAGACCAAGACCAGCTGGCAAATCCTTGCCAACACTCATATCTCTATTTGGTCAGTACATATTTTGAAATTTTCCCTAAAACTGTTGAATCTTTTTTGTTCAAAGTGAAAGTCTCATGGATAAGTCAATATTAAGTAGAGTAGAGGTTAATTTACAGTGCAAGGCAAGAGGTAAAGCAAGCAAAGTTTGACACTTGAACCACTTAGCTGTTCAGTACTCACAGAACAAGAGAGATTTTAAAACTCTCTGACAATGTAAAAAAAATGTTTTTTTTTAGTTGAAAAATATTACATTAACTTTCATTTTGGAGACAAATTGCATCACTTTTTTTTTCTCCAAATTTTAAGTTGGTAATTGTTGTAGTCCCACAGAGTATGTTTGAAAAAGCCATAAATTTGTGACATTGATACACTACATGTAATAAATACTACACTGTAGTGTTATTTTCAGTTTCACTCAATCTTTTCTATACTAATTGTGAACTTGCTGTCAAAACCTACTTCATGTGTTATAAACATTCATAATAATCTATTTTCATGACACTTAAAATTAAATAGTAAAGATGTCATCTAGTCTGTTGCATTAACACAAGTGAATAGATGGTGTTTTTTTCTCACTTTTATGTTATAAAACTGATACAAAATAAGGCCGATATATGAGCATTTCCAAGACTGATCAAAAGAAATTTTCTTATATTTTAAGCGCACAGGCTGTTGAAAAATAGATATCATTTGCAGTATAACTGTACAGTAAATTCTCTCTATTAAGACCACTAACGGGTCTGACTCAAAGTGGTCTTAATAGTGAACTGGTCTTAATAGTGAATAAGTCACTTTAACAGCTGACGAAGTCCAACTTAACTTAATGTATTATAACCTTGTATAGTTTTATGCACATGGTAAATGTACTTAATTAAATGAGTAAAAAGAAACACATTTTTAAACAAAAAACCTTTTTTAATGCATGATAATAATTATTATACTGTACATCATTAATATGATGAAAACATTAATTTACGACTTCCACTTAAGAAGAAAAATATGAGGTATTAATATATGCTAGATGCTATTTTTATATTACATTCTTTGATCGAAAGGTTTATAAATGATAAGAAGAAACTATTTTGCTGTTTTATTGACTTTAAAAAAGCATATGATCTAATTGACAGGAACTGCCTATGGTATAAACTGATAAAATGTGGTATTGATGGCAAATTGTTTTCTGTAATATATTCAATGTATGAAGATGTTAAATTGTGTGTAAAACATGTAAATACGTTGTCTGAATTTTTCAGTAGTGAAATGGGTCTCTTTCAAGGTGAGATAACTTCACCAATAATGTTCAGTCTCTTTTTGAATGATTTAGAAAATTTATTACAAGAAAATTTAGATGATTGTATAACATTAGATCAAATATCGATTTATTTGCTATTATTTGCAGATGACGCCGTTATCTGTTCTGAATCTGCTCAAGGTTTACAAAATTCCTTAAATAGTTTAGAAAAATATTGTAACAAATGGCATCTTACTGTTAACGTAGATAAGACTAAGATTGTTGTTTTTAGAAAGGGCGGAGTTTTAAATAAAAGTTATATAAGTGGATATATGGGGGGTTAAATATAGAAATTGTAAAAACGTTTAATTACCTAGGTATTGTTTTGTCTAGCGGAAGTTCGTTCATACCAGCGACCAACACACTAAAAGGCAAAGCACTACGGGCTATGAGCTCATTATTTAATGTAACACGAGATAAGCAAGTTCCCATTGATATTATGTTCAACTTGTTTGATGCATATGTTCTACCAATTCTAAATTATAGTTGCGAGGTATGGGGTAGCCTACCATCGGAAAATTTGGAAATTGTACATAGGAAGTTCTGTAAATGGTTGCTTAATGTGAAAATGTCAACAAATACTCTTTCACTGTTTGCAGAAGTTGGCCGATTTCCATTATATATTTCACGTCATGTAAGAATTGTTAAATATTTTATAAAATTATACCAAAATAAAACAAGCAATTGTATATTAAATTATATTGTTAATTGTCAGAGATTGGAGATAGAGTCAAAGTCTAATACTGTAAATTGGTTGTCTAAAGTAAAAACACACTTTTGCAAAGTGCTGGATTTAATGATGTGTGGATGTATCCAGAATCAGTTAAGCTAAATATATTAATACCAGTCCTACATGGTCGTTTAAAAGATATTTATATCACAAACTGGCATTCTAGTGTACATATTTGTTCTTCTTTGTATTTGTATAAACATATCAAAACCGATTTTAGCAGGTCTAAATACCTGGATATTGTTGACTCTATGAAATTAAGAAATATATTAGCTAAACTTAGATTATCATCTCACAATTTATTAATAGAAACAGGTAGACACAATAATATTGATAGAAATGACCGGAAATGTACTATTTGCAACAATAATGACATCGAAGATGAATATCACTTTGTATTGATTTGTACTTTGTATGATTCTCTTAGAAAACAGTATATATCCAACTATTTTACAAGAAACCCTAGTATGTTTAAATTTTTAGAATTGCTGAATTCAGAAAGGAAGTCAGTGTTAACAAAATTAGCTATATATTGTAATAAAGCTTTTAAATTGAGATTTGATTCATTGAATGCCGGATAATGCTATATAAGACCACCTTGTTGTATTGTTTAAAGTTATATAAGGATCGTAAATATTACATGTGTTGTATTACACTCTCACTAGTTTATTTCATTTAATGATATGCGTTTACCATTTTTCATATTCATGCATGTATATATTTGTTGTATATGAAGATGAGCTGTATATGCTTAATTCAAAATAAAATATATGTTCTGTTCTGTTCAAAAATATAGTATGACTCTCATTATGATTTATACATTAATTACTAGCGAAATAAAGCACACATGAACTGATAATTTGGTGTAATTAGCAATTTTTACCATACTTGCTATAAATTGTGATGAACAACAAACAATTTTACATGCTATTTACTTGTTTATCACATCCTAATTACGCTGACAAATTAATCGTTCTCGCACCATAGCTGCTTAGATTAATTAGCCAGAAGTGGTTTAAACTGATCATGTTGACGCTTGAATGCTAAAGATACATCGTAAAGCAAGCGTCTAATCAATTGATGTATATTAATGACCTCATTTGACCCGGTGTATTTGTTTACGCCAGAGGGAAGATTAGGACAATTAATTGGGGGGCAATTAACACCAAGTGATGTCTGGCCATTATGTTGCATGGTCGTTATACAGGTTAATGTTTTGATAAGAAATACACACAAATGTCTGACAGAAGTGGTCGTTATGCCGGATTAGAGACGTGGTCGGTATTCTGGTCATTTTTCTCAATGAATAAAGAAGGCAAATATTTTGTACTTTTAAAAAGTGCCCGTAATAGCGGCATGGTCCTATTTGTGACGTGGTCGTTAGGTGGCATTTTACTGTAGTTGAATAATGTACCAAAATTTTAGAGCTGTCATTGATTCAGTGCAAAGCATATCAACGATATATCGATATCAAGTAACTAAAATCAACGATACACCGATATATCCATAATATCCTATACTCACTTGTCTGTCATTCACTTTCATACCTGTTTCAATGATTTCAGTCAAAAACATGTTCTGTACAGTGTCTTGTCCACTGCATGTTTTTTTCCTGACAATATTTTTTATCACCATTGCTATGAAATAATTCCACTATATAACAAAAGCATAACATTAGATATAAATAATTGTTTCTGCATATATTTTGGGTGAATTGTATAATTTCTAGACATTTAATTTATAAGTCAAAAGTATCGATTTTTTTAAATGTGTATCGATTATTGATCAACGATACATCGATATTGTCGATATCGATGACAGCTCTACAAAATTTATTTCATTAACCAGTGCATTGTATACATGTTGCCATTATAATCTGACATAACTAAATGAACAATTTGAACCTTTTAAAATAACCATCATAATTACATTGTAACTGCAAAATTGCCAAATCTAATTAGAAATGTAATTATTTCATTTAAATTTAGATCAGTCATAATGTTACTGATAAAGCACTGTAAGGCTGTAAACATAAATATAATGCATTATAAAAAAATATACAAGGGGTATACAATTTGTAAAGGTGCGCATGACTGTTGTTGTTGCATTAATAACTCATTTGTTACCTTTAGAGCATATATTTTCGCTAATTTCGTAATTATCCACCTTCATTTATGCTAAGAATCACTGTCATCATTTGAATAATTGAAAATATGACAACATTTTTAACTTCCTGTTTATGTTTAGAAGCCAAAGAGCAATGATGCCTGTATTTGGCCTATTTAAGACTTGCAAGAGTCTCATAGGATATTTATATTGATCGAATAAACACTAAACTTCCAATTAGCAACTAATTACATGTAGATAGATAATGATCAATATATGTATGGAGACTATATGATAGCTATTTGGATATATTGCGTTTCAGCTAATATATTAACTAAGCATTGTGTATTTTTGTAACTGGCCAAACAATACCCATGATTGAATTCAATATTATTAAACAATTTACATGAAAGAGAAGTTTATAAATAAATCCATATAGATATCTTCTTAAATGTATCTTAACTAAGATTAAATCTTTATCACTGTTTATGTTTATAGAAAAAAATCTTTATACATACCCTTTCAATCAGTGCACATTTGAAAAGAAGATTAAATTTATTCTATGGGAAATAAAGGGGGGGGGGGGGAGAAGAAAAAACTGAACATTGTCAATGTTTGTTGAACTTCAATAAAACCATATTAAACAGTTGAACAGCTACTTTAATCTGGTGGAAATATTTAATATTTATATGATATTGCCATTTTTTTAATGCAATAATAAATTAACAAACCTTTTCAAAATGTTTAAATCCATTACAGTACTCCACACTGCATTTATCTATTCATAAACGTTTTATCTAAATATAAAAGCTAAATATTCACTGATATTTACCCCACCCGAAAATAACTCGGTTGACACAGGCAGTAACTTAATCTCGGTTAGATTACACGGTTTTACAATCTTCAAATAATTAGTTGGACATAAACAAACAAAAGAATTTACCGCATGTGACAAACACGGTATTGTTTACATTTGACAGCACGCGGGAAATTAACCGTTGAAAGCCCTTGCTTCAGCAGCAGATTTCATTTTCGTAAACATTGTGTTGGCCACACTTTTAAATCAAATCTACATTTCAGCAGTTTTACGCCCAAAACAGGGAAATTTTAAATCATGTAAATTAAGTAAAGTAGTTGACAAGATAAGTAACGCTTCACAACTCGCATTACATGTAGTTTTTACACTGTTTACCTACAAAATACACCTTTACCTGTCATTCGTGACTCTCAGGTAAGTAATTCCTATGCGCATGCGTGACAGAACTGTTCTGTTCCGGTTATAGCCAGAGGCATAGTCTTCGGATAAAACAGAATTGTCTATTATTGAAACTGATAGAATGCTACCTACACCAAGCATTCTTTAATAAGAGTTCAAGAACTCGAAATGTGTACATAAAATTGTGTGAACACTAATTTACTGATAAGAACAGAATTATATCTAATTATCTTACAGGAAAAATGCCGCATTGTACAAATTTAGGTACTAGTTGCATTGATTAATTTGACCTAAAATGTGTTAAAGCTTGTTATTTATGCAATAAAATATCCATATATTAAAAAAAACCTTCTTTTCTGTTATATTGTTTTAGTCTATAACAATATAACATTTTTTTTTAATATATGGTTATTTTATTGCATAAATAACAAGGTTTAACACATTTTAGCACTAGCACCATTGGCATTATATATTATCATATTACGAGCATGTTCCCCGTTTACATTCATTCATATCCATGAAGCATGGAGCAAGCTGGGAAGACGTCTTCTTGTGTCCACATCAGCTTCTGCATGCAGACTAATCTATTCAAGATTGCACAGCTTGTCATTTTATTGATAGAGCTACACTAGATCTATATGAATATATGTGGAGGAAACAGTCTGACTCTGTAGTGCATAGGTTATTACTTAATGGCGCCAAAATTAATTACCGGGAAATAACTTATGTCCAACCAAACTCCTGTGCAGTGGTCATCCTTACTTCGCAACACGATGATGTCCAACTTCTGGACAACGCGCGCAGGGCCATTCTTGACCATTTTAATTCCGGAGATCAGCATACTAATTATAAATGGAAAAACTGTGTTATATAATTAAATGTTACAGAACATATTCATATTGAGAGGAACTCGATCCCAGCCTGTTCGTTAAAATGATTAAAGATATACTATGCTCAAATTAGATGTAAAAATATTGACGAATATATATATATATATTAAATATTTTAACGAACGTACTAGCTAGTCAACTTTGCTTGACCTGTAATAGGGAATGCAGCTTCCCGTGCATAGTTCATTAATTCTTTTACTTAATTAAATTAGACATATAATTCAGTACGAATATTATATAGATTTCAGTAAATTTCCGAGATTGAAATATTAGTCTAGAGTTCTAGGGAAATACGAGTTATGGGGGTGGGGGGGGGGTAGGGGGTACATGACTCGGCTTAGGAAGTTTCAGATTTCTAATAGGTATAAGATATGGATGGTTAAACTTGCAGCTTGCGAATGAATGTTAGAAATGCTTGAAGCTTGCCTGCGGCTTTCTAAGAAAAAACCAACCAAGATTATTAAGCGCCTGTGTGACACTACTTTGGAAATAATAAGTATCACAAATATGTGAAGTCGTAGCTTTTTGTATCTGATTAGATTCGCTGCAAAAGACGTCATTAATTGAGCCGCGTCACGACAAAACCAACATAGTGGGTTTGCGACCAGCATGGATCCAGACCAGCCTGCACATCCGCACAGTCTGATCAGGATCAATGCTATTCGCTATCAGTTTCTCTACTTGTAATAGAGTTGGTAAGCAAACAGCATGGATCCTGATCAGACTGCGCGGATGCGCAGGCTGATCTGGATCCATGCTGGTCGCAAACGCGCAATGTTGGTTTTGTCGTGACTCGGCTCAATTATTGTTGAACAGTAGTAACTGCAGTTACGGTCTTTCAAAAGATACATATAGGCTAATATTTTGACTTGCCTGTTTTGGGTATTGATATATCTCAAGGTGCTTTACATTTTACATTCGAACTCGCGACCTCCCGCTTGAAAACGAAAGTAACAACGCCCAAAAAAAATCGGTGGTGTTGGAATTTTACCCTATGGATCATTGTATGTGTTGGGGTTTTTGACATGACGGGACTGGAAATATTTTTTCGACATTTGTGTAGTCTGGACCGCACAAAAATAAAGTTTCAATTTAATTTTGAGTATATTTCTTTGTTATCTTTTGCAAAGTTTTCCATTTTAAAATGCTCCATTTGACATTTATAAAATTTTCAAATTTTAATGTTTTTTATGCTTTCGAAAGTTGAGTTCCTTTATCCTCGCCCTAGTTCCCAATTTTTAGTCCTTTGATACGGAAATTCCTTAAACTCTTTAAACCTGCTTTTAACCATCCGGCGGGGTAACGGTGAAAGGTCAGCAGCATCTTATCTTGTCTCATACTAGTATTTTATTAGTAAAAGACAGAAAGGGGAAAAATATACATGATGTACATTATTTGTTTTACACAAATTAATATCCTAACATACCATTGCTGATCCATTTTCCTACACATTTAGATGCATGTATAATTTCGTGAAATTCTCAAAGTGGTGTTGGAATCAAACCTTCGGATCACGGCGGTACGCACTTTCAAATACACCAGAACACAGTTCATCTGGGCAGGCTGTCAAGAAGTTTACCAAGTATAAGGGCATTCATTTTCGCAAGGAATTGATAACTTCTGTACATGCTAGAGCACGGTACATTGTGAGTGATCGTGGAAACTATTTCATGATCAATCACAAAGAAAGTGACCTGCCCCGTCCGGGAATCGAACCCGGGTCGCCCGATTCACAGTCCAACGCTCTTCCAATTGAGCTAACCGGACGGTCGTTCTTACAGTGAAGTAGATGTGTTATCAGCAGCAAGTCAATGCAAATTATTCCAGTTTCAGTTTTTATTAAACCAAGGCATGTAATTAATATGCAACTGGTGATATGTTTAGAAACAAACGGACAAAAATTAACTAATATCACATAAAAGAATACAATTATGACTACCTCAATAAACGAAAATAGATCATCTTGTTCAGTTTCAACTACTGAATTTTAGTGGAATGTTTTATCACAACTATTCATTAATCTGTCAAGTTTTGAAATATTGGAATGACTATAAAAACTGGAAGTATAATCTCATTTAAGTGCGAGCATTCAAAAGGTAGTGACATTCATCGCCAATAGCTTGCTGCGGACATAAGGAACAGAATCTATTATTATGATCAATGGTCAAATATCTGCCCTTTTCAATGGGTAAGGGCCTAGTACTAAATTTACATAAATATTTGCCTATGTCAGATGTTACTACATATAGATATTTTTCTAAAGAAAGAGTATTTATATATATGTACGATACAATAAGTACTTAGAAGATGTATCAGTAGTACAATGCCAATCTTGTAAAAATTGATCATGTAGTCTAAGCTTCACAATACTTTTAATGTTATAATATTATCTACTTTCTGTAGATGAAAATATTCTGACATACCAAGATTATTGAGAGTTTCTTTTACAAATGTTGTCCATTCAGAATCACTGTTTTATACAGAAGTTTACATAGCATTAATAATTTGACGACAGAAACACAAACCACTTGCTTACCTTTGCAAGACCAATGGTAATATGCCCAATTCACCATTAACCATACAATAAGCCGTATTCAAAACAAACATACAAAAACACAATTGAAATTTCTTTAAAATTTTAAAACCGTAAATAAAATTTTAAGACCGTAAACCATGCTGGAAGGGGGCTCATTGTGCTCATTAAAGTAGGTTTGAGACAATGGTGTGCTTCATTAATTTAAAAAAAAAATGCAATGAATATATTTTTTTCCGTTTGTTTGGTTTTTTTTTTGGGTTTTTTATCTCGTGGAGATATGTATATAGGGGTATTGCTGGATAGAAGGGGAAGAAACAGTTCATTGTAAGTTAATTGTAAGGCAGTGCCATTATCTACCATACTCATGATAAAATGGACTTGAAAAAGGGAATCTTTTTTAGAAATAGGGGGAAAATATATACTCTTTGAGGAGAGGAAGCGGGAGAATTTCGGCCCTAAATTGATACTTAATTTAAGCATTGTAAATGATGTAAATGATATAAGCCTATCTCTTCCAGGTGTAGACTTAAAACATTTTTTGTTTACTGGTGCTTTTTACTTTTCTTTCCGATCACTGGGACCGATACCCGTTTCTAAAGAATAGTTAAATGAGGGCGGGTACTATTTCGCTGCCGAGTTACTTTAATTGTAAATGAAGGAGTTCAAAGGACCTTAATATGTAAATACAATTTGGGGTCAATTTATATACAAGTTGAGAACAAGGTTGCTATACGCAATATATTGCGATACATTGTAGTTTGAACACCCCTATGTTTCACTACAATAGACGATATTAGACTCAAACAAATGATATGTATACACGTTACTGATCAAACCGACAGTTTTGCCGATTTTTGAGCGTTTTTTAAACAGGAATTTTAAAATGTCTATGGTCATGCAGTCATCTGATGTCATTCAAAAACACAGTGACTATATTTTTGATTGACCTATAATTAGTAGTTACAGTAAAAATGTGTTACAGTCATGTTCACTGCCCATGTTGGCTTGAATTATAGTCAGAATTTTATTCATGATGAACAAGTTTTGTAAGTTCTAAACGTTCAAAATAGGTACGAACAGCACGTTTCAAGTATGTTTTTCTCCTCTTTTTTCCATTTTAACACGCTTATAGGAGAGTAGATAGGACAGATAGGAGAGTAGAGTTCATTATATTACGATAATGCATGTCAGAGAAAAGGAATGCTTTCACGTTATTTGAACTCAAATATTACGTCAGTAAACCAAATCAA